GTATCTCTTCTTAAGATCTTTGATTTCATTCTCATAGTTAGTTTTCATATCATTGTCCTCCATTTGTTTGCGCCCAGCTCTGTTTTCTCTTTTCAGAGTCTCAAGGTGTGCCGTTCATTCACATTAGTCACTATAGTAGTTTGAGTTTCTTACTTTGATCGTCCTCCCCAGAGTCAGAGCGTCTGTCCAACTGTCTGAAATATACGCTGGCGTTGATAAAAGGTATTGATCATCTTGGTGACATACGATTCTGATGGACTGGAAAACTTCCAAGCTGCATGGAGAAGGAAAAGAGTATGAAAAGAGTCTCAAAACTTAAGTAAAGTTGTTCTTTATGCTCCAGTTTTGACCTCTTCACGAATGAGTACTTTTACCTGAGATATCCAGATACCTGTTGGCACTAATACCTGACTGCTACTTGAGTAAGAATTGATTGCAGGACTTTTATTTGGCATGGATTATTTTTTATCTTCTACCTATTGCTAACCAATTTCATGAAAACAAACAACGTGCCCCAAATCCTGCTGGTATAATCTTTAAAACAGCTCAGAAATGTTTAATCTTTTAAAATGCCTCTTAAAGCCTTTCTAAAATATCTGGGTCATGTAGTTTTAATCAAACATTAAATGGCGCGTTTGTTGGGGACTATTTTCAGTGGCAGATTATTACACATTAGGTGCTCTAGTATTTCAGGCAGCAGGATGGTATATCTGGAAATGAGCCAAACTAAACTACAGTGTGTGTGTTCGTGGTAATGAAGGAACATCTCACCCACTGCAACAGTGTGGCGCTGGTGATTTTTAATAGTTTTTGGACAACAATTGAGCTCTATGGCACAGAGGAATAAGATATATCAGGCTTTGATACACACAATGCTTGATAGGAGGATCAATTCATTGTTGGGTTTGATAGTTTCATGGGATTTAATGACAATAAGACATTTACAACAGAATAGTTATTCCCTCCCTAATGACAGAAAAAAGGTACAGACAAAAAATAAATAAAATGTACGGGAAAAGGGAAAAAGAAAGGAAGGAAGTAAAGTGAGTGATTGGGTGAGTGAGTCAGAGAGAGAGAGAGAGGGAGACAGGGAGGGGGAGAGAGAGAGAGAGAGAGAGAGAGAGGGAGTTAGGGAGTTAGCGAGCTTTGAGTTTTCAAACAGAGAGTCAGGAGGGAGACGAGTGAACAACAATCACGAGAGCAAGAAACCTCTGCCGGTTCTGATCTGGATCCAGGTATTCTGCTCCTGTCAATCCTCTAACAGCACCCGGCGGTTTCAGGACCCTACCAGAGCCGTGCTGTCAGGGAAACTCTCCTGGTTTGTTTCTGGGCTGGTATCAGGCACTTTCTGGATATTAAAAGCATCAAAGACTTGGTGGATCTCACTCTGTCAGTATCACACTTTCTGGATCCTCTGCTGTTTCCAGACTCTTACTGGACTCTTTACCGAGACCAGACTTGTACTTTCACACTGCTGGAGTTCAGTTCTGTGTATCAGATTATTTCCAGACTCCATACTTGCTTTAAGCCTCGTCTGAACATTCACACACTCTGGACGCTCTCTTGGTTGTGGGAAGGGTCCAGATCCTGTTCTGGGCTGTGGGGTGAGCAGTATGGTGGTGGGGCAGAGCCCCCTCTGCCTGCTGGTATACCGGTTTAAGTCTGGATGCTCTGTGGAGTTCAGCAAGGGGAACAACAACATGGGGAAACAGGTGGAGGTAAGATGAAGGAAATATTTTTACCTCAGTTCATCTAAATCTGAGTACCGTGAATTAAGTTTTGTTTTCTCATCAGTGCAGTCTTAATAATAATAATAATAATAATTTGTATTCAGTGTCACTTCATATTCCCTCATGTTGAGATTTACCAAATTCTAATCTAATCTGACTTGATCTATTCTAAATAAATCTCATTTGATCTGGTAATAACCTAATAACTTAATCTAATGTTATGTAATCTGATCTGATTCTAACCTAGTTTAATCTAATATGATCTAAACTGATTTATTCCAGTCTAATATCTGATTTTATTTGAACTGATGTTATTTATCTAATCTAATCTAATTTAATCTGATCTGATCTAGTTTGATGTAATTTGGTATAGTCTAATTTATTGGTTCTCAAACTATGGTAAACTGCCTCTAGTGGTACTAGATCAAATCTAAATTGATCTTATTTGATTTTATCTGATCTTTATTATTTTATACATGAATATTTTATGTTTTGCAAATATATTTTATATATATATATATATATATATGTGTGTGTGTAAATAAAAAGAGAAAAATAATGAAATATTAGTAAGTATCCAATTCAACATATAATACGTAATAAGCCTTTCCATGTGGTCATTTTATGTAAACTATTTAGTCATTGAATTTACAGAAAATGTGCTATATTGTGATGTATTTATATCGATATGAAATGACCTGTATATCGGGATATGACATTTTGGTGATGTTGCACAGCCTCACTGTCACTGTCAGAGGACGTTGACCTCAGACTCTTAATCTCATCACGACTGGTTGCTTTGGTGAAACACTGTGTGTAAAAGAACACCCCCGTTGGCATCTACACATGCTGATCGTTTTCAGATTTCTGCCACAATACCAAAACAGTTGAGGTGAATGTAATTTAGTTTGAGGCGCTTAAAGCTTTTAACAATTATTTGAAAAGGAAACAGAAACAGTAGAACTATTTCCTACTGTAAATGTACGGTATGTAAGTTTGCTGTGTTAGTTTTCAGTACACCACTTTACTAATGACACTAATATAGTTCATTATCATTACTAAGCAAGTTCTTTAATTGATTTCTCTTTAGTTGTTTTTATATAGAAAGTCACTTGACTGTTTTGTGACTACAACATCTGGGGTGTTTGTAAAAACAGATTTTGCTTAGGGCTTCAAAGCAGCCTGGACTGCTTGCTATCTCTGCTGTTTTTCCCCCCCAAAAAACAGAGAAATATACTTGAATATATGAGAATAATGTCTCTGCTGCCAGGCTCCTGACAGCTGAAGAGTCAGTCACAGATTGATGGAGATCTGAAGTTTTCATATTCAGCAAATACTTAGAACCTTAATTCAGGTAAGGAAAACCTCCCTCCAAAAAAACAGGAAAAGCAACATGTCACATGTATGGAGCAGTCCAACAAAATCACAAACTTCTTAACATTTAGATTATAAAATGTAAGTGAAGTTTGTGGATCCAGGTGGACATTGAACTACTTCAGGTGTTCTGCCTCCTCTTCACTGTGGAAACGTGGAAGAGGACAGGCCACACATGGGCCTTTTCCACCAACAGGAATCTGACCTCCGTATCGGTTCGTGCATCTGGTTTGAACTGTTCTTGACCAAAAATGTGTTTTTCTTAATTGGTTTGGAACCCGAAGAGTTGATTCCCATATGGAACCAAGAAATACCCGGTTTTCCTTTGGAACCAAAGTGGGCATGTCATATTCTCAAGGCCGTTTTGCATTGTCGGTTGATTCTTGATTACAATGGTTTCGCTCAAAACTGGTGGAAACGCGCGCTGGTTCAATAGAGAGCACCAAAGAATATTGAATGGAACTGGTTCAAGAACCAGAGCTAGTTTGGTTTAAAAGAGGGGATGAGAAACATCTTGGAGGAACCAATGATCATGTTAGATGCCTCTAAAGACAATAAAACATGAGTTTTTAGTTGACATGTAAGCTGTTACAGGAGTTATTCTTGTTGTTTTTCTCAATTCAAACTCCTGACTTGGGAGTCTGCTGTAAACCAGTTGTAATTAGATAACCAGTGTATTGTTGTGCAACTACACTGAATTGATTTTTGTCAGATTGAATCAACTGAAGCGTGATAACACAGAGAAACCCATTATAGTGTCAATGTCCAATGGAAACTTCTCATTTGTAAAGCACATAAACTGATTATTTATTATCCTCATTGAACCCAAAGCAATATTAAAACAACAGATATATATTCTTAATAAATACAACAGTATCATCTGCTAAATGAGAGACTGACTTTAATAACTTAGTGTAACTAATGTTTACATTTTATATTTTAGAGACTCAGTAACTTTAGAGGCTATCAAGTCACAGCTTTTAATTATCAGTCTCTTCTTGACTGTCAGTTTAAAAGGAACCTTTAAGAGGATCCTTTGTCAGATTTGGGACTTGAACTTGAAGCTGAAGATGTAAATCTTTCTGGGACTCCGGAGTGATCGAGGACGAATAAATAAAACTGTCTGCCAAAGGTCGATTTATTTTTGGTTGACTGGTTCCTGATTGTGAGCGCTGATGGAAACAAAGTTTGATGGTTCCTGTGTTCCAGTAGGTCAGCTGACTGCGGGCTGCAGGGCAGAGCTGAAGATACACACACACACACACACATAAACACATATACACAAACATTGATTTATCGTAAGTCTGTATCCAGGACAAGTAGCCTGACAGTATGGAGGCCTGATATCTGTGTGTGTGTGTGTGTGTGTGTGTTTGGCACCGAGGGAGAGACTTTGAGTCACACTATTGTTTAACTTGCAGTATATTAACAATACAGAGTCGACTTTCCCGCAAACTAGTTGAACAATCTGCACTCACATCTGTTTAAAAACCCCAGACTGGACGAGTTCTTGCCAAAACATTTTGTCAATTGATTGACAGAAAATTCCCCAACAGCAGTTTTGATAATCACTTAATCATATAATTTTATTGTATAAGTAATTCTTCAGGCTCTATCTTGGAACTGCGATTGACAGCTACAGTACAGTACAGTTCGATTGCAGCCAGGGACGAGGTGATTGGATGAAACATCTGTCTGAACTGACCTTTTTGTGAGCTCTGCCAGTGGCTGCAGGCTGTTGATTGCAAATAAAGAAGACAAAGAAATGAAATCCTGTGTTTGGACTTTTTTGTGGGTGGTGGTGGATCACTGTCTGCCACAGTGTCTCTTTTAATATCATCTCTGGGGTTGAGCCAAAGTCTGAAATGTTTAAATTCTTTGATTTCTCTCCTCTAGGAGCCCAGCACCAAGCGCAGTAAAGTTGTATCCAGGGTGACGTCTCTGGCCAGCCTGCTGCCGCCCGTCAAGACGGCACCGCTGAAGAGGATCAGTCAGACACTGCAGGTGAACCACCACAGCTTTTTTTCATTTAGTCAAGTAATTTCGTAGTGGGTAGGTTCTAATCTGTGTTCCTAGTTAATTTTTCTCTTTTAATGATGACTCATCTTCCAATTCAAGTCCAATTGAAGTTTTAATGATTCCAACTTGATTTTGCATGGCTGACAGCAATGCTACAATACCAGTGAGCCTCCGCCACCATTGCTCTGGAGATGGAGGTGTGAATCAGAACCATAGTGAATTCAAAATGCTTTGCCGTTGAATTTGTGAACAGAACATAGCACTATAGCTGCTGATTTCATTATGAATTGAGCCAGAATTCAAAAGATTTTATGACATTTAGAACCAGATATTTTCTTACACAATGGTTCATCTTTTGAATGGATGATCCAGGAGAGTTTCATGCCAATCCGAGTTGCAGACGTGCTCCAACTGTGAGACTTGTGACGAAAAACGAATGGGACTTTTACTTCTGGAACCAGAAATGCTCCAACTAGCTCTTCCCACCTGGCAACTCTGATACTGAAAATATGTCAGATTGTTGCTCTGACAATCAGCAGTAAAACAGAAAACATATCTGAAATAAATATTGATATCATTCTGTATTTTTCAACTGGTTTATCCATCTCTCTGCAGCGCTCCATCAGTTTTCGTAATGACAGTCAGCTGGAGAGAGCCGTTCATCCTCCTCCCTCCTCCTCAACAATGAAGACTCGGGTTATCTCAGCGACGGTCTCCAACCCTTCCTCCTCCATGACTGCCACACGGGTTTCCACAGCAACTGCCCAAGCCGCCAAGCGCCGGGACAGCAAGCTTTGGAGTGAGACGTTTGACGTCCGACTGGGAGCGACTCAACCTCTGAGCCCAAAAGAGATAAAACGACAAGAGGTGAGAGACACACAGCTGCTGCTGGACTTTTATCTGCTACAACAATTTATCTCATAGGGCTGTCTGGGGTCTCTGGTCTTCTTATATTGGATCCAGACATCAAATGACTAAGATCCTTCATCTGGTTAAAATATACAGTTAAAAAATGACCAAAATCTAAAAAGTGTATCATAAAAATGTGGCTTAAAACTGGATAAAAAGTGAGTTTATGACAGCTTCACTTTTTATCTTTTTTTATGAGAGAAATTTAAATGACCACACAAAACAACCAACTTTTCAAAATACATTTTCATCCTAATCCATCAGTGGCGGAAAAGGATGACTCTCCATTTTACACTACAAAATAGCTAAATCTATATTCTTTCAACCTCATCAAACTCAAATCTCATCCATCTTTTAACACTTATAGTTTCTCAAACTCTCTCTCTCTTCCTGCAGGCTATATTTGAGTTGGCTCAAGGCGAGCAAGACTTGGTGGAGGATCTCAAGTTGGCTAAGAAGGTAAAACAAAAACCTTTATTTTTTCCTTGTAGAACTGACTTTCCTCCTGTATTTATTCTACAGGATTCTCATGTGTGCATATGTGTCTGTGTGTGTATGTGCGCTGCAGGCCTACCATGACCCGATGCTGAAGCTGTCAATCATGACTGAGCAGGAGCTGAACCAGATCTTTGGCACTCTGGACTCACTGATACCCCTGCATGAAGGTAAGTCCAAAGGTCACAGGTACCAGAGGGCCTTTCAGACACATACCCCTTTGTGTTAATCTGTTAGTCTCATGTCTGAAAGGGCCCCCTGGTCTCTTTCACAAGTCACTTTCACAAGTCACAGCAGTAATCTTACTCTGTGGGACATGTTAGTTCATTTTGGTATCAATATGGAATTGTATGGTATCCAATTGGCACTAGTATTGGAACATTTCAAACAATACCAGCCCTATTAAGGCTCATGCTGCTGTTGTAGCTGTTGCCATTGTATCTAATTTCTAAACTGTCTGTCTCTCTTCAGACCTACTGAGTCACCTCAGAGACGCAAGAAAACCTGACGGGTCCACAGAACATGTGGGACACATTCTGACTGACTGGGTGAGTTTTATCTTAAAGGACCAGTTTGTAGGATTTAGTGGCATCTAGCAGTGTAGTTGCAGATCACAATCCCCTTAATTATAGTTCAGATGCCATTTATTCTTAGTGCTCAAGACAAATGTTTGACATTTCCTTGTCTCCTACACTCTGTAGCAACCAGGTCTCTGTTTCTGTGTCCCTGCAGCTGCCCTGTCTCTCCTCCTACACTCCATACTGCAGTAACCAGGTGCAGGCCAAGGCCTTGTTGGACCAAAAAAAGCAGGATCGGCGGGTCCAGGACTTCTTGCAGCGCTGTCTCCAGTCCCCCTTTAGCAGAAAGTTGGACCTGTGGAACTTCCTGGACATCCCCCGCAGCCGACTGGTGAAATACCCGCTGCTGCTCAGGGAGATCCTGAAGCACACGCCCAACGACCACCCGGATCGGCAGCACCTGGACGAGGCGGTGAGGAAAACCAACAATAAGACACTGTACACCTTTGTTCCACAAGTCTGGTTCACCCCGCTGTCAGACTGAGTTAGCAGGAAATAAAATGATTAGTGTTCACTCAGTTGACCACATTTGTTACATTAAATAAAGAGAAAACAGATCAGATGATATAAAATGTGTATGGATGGGGTTAGATCTTGTCTGTTTGGTCTACAGATGCTGATGGTTCAGAGCGTGGTGGCAGACATCAACAGGCGGACGGGGGAGTCGGAGTGTCAGTACTACAAGGACCGTCTGTTGTACGCAGAGGACGGACAGAAGGATGAACTCATTGACCGGTCCAAGACCCTCAGCTGCCACGGAGAACTGAAGAACAACAGAGGACTCGTAAGTAGATTTCTCGGTTTTATACCCACCGACCCCCCAACCTTTTAATTTATACAGTACACTTTGTTTCTCCTACCTTTATGTAATATATTTTGGTGCTTTGTAAAGTGACTGTGGGTTCTTTAAAGATTAATAAATATAAAATATTTTATGACAGATAAAATATTTATGAGTCTCTCTGGTCACAACACTTTTGTTTGAAAAAACAAAAAACAAATCTAAAAACCTGATATAGGAATCACCAACTGAAGAAAAATGTCTCTGTCTTTGCAGAAGCTCCACGTGTTTCTGTTCCAGGACGTCCTGGTCATCACCAGGTCCGTCTCGCTGAACGACCAGCCCGTCAGCTACCAGCTCTGCCGCCAGCCAATCCCAATCCGACAGCTGGACCTGGAGGACCTATCAGACGGAGAGATGAGAGTGGGCGGGTCCATCAGAGGAGCCTTCAGCAACAATGAGCGGAGTCAGTACATTTCGTTTTGTTGAGGAAATCAGGATCAGTTTACAGGCATTCACTTTTTTTTACTTTTTTTATTTTGTCTGTTGGGAAACAATTACTGTCCCAGTTCCATACTATATACCATATACACTTTACCATAATATATACACTGTATGGCCAAAAGTACTTTAGTCTTTAGTGCCGGTTTAGTATTTTACTTTCTGCGTCAACGAGTATTCAATACTTCCAAATTACAAAATACAAATTTAAAACTTATTGGCACACATGTCTGACCATAATAACCACTCATGTCTCTTTCTGTCTCTCTTACCCTCTCTCCTCCTCACAGCAAAGAACTTCTTCCGGGTTTCCTACCGTACTGGAGGTCAGCTGCAGAGCCACTGCTTCCAGGCCAGTGACGCCTTCAACAAACAGCAATGGATCAACTGCATCCGACAAGCCAAGGAAGCTGCAGCACTGACTGGAGACCAGCCGCCACAGACAGGACAATGTCTGGAGACAGAGCTGGGTGGACAGTTAGGGCTGCTTGGTGAGACAGGTCTGAGTTTGCGCAGTGATTCAGGTATTGAAGTTGAAAAAGGGATGTGGGGGGAGGTGGAGACAGGGCTGCGTTTGGAGGGAGAGGTAGGTCTGAGTGCAGAGAAAGATCTCAGTTTGGGTGAAGAGGCTGGGGTGACGGGGAGGGAGGTGGAGACAGGTTTGGGTGTGGATGGTGGGATGAGTTTGGAATTAGATGGAGAAAAAGGGATGGACGGTGAAATGAGGCCGACGATCAGTGAGACGGGTGTGGAGATGGAGACAGGGCATGGTGTCTGTGGCGTCATAGGAGCAGAGCCAGGAGCCAGTGCAGACCCGAAGATGGACGGAGGAAAAGGAGAGACTCTCAACGAAGGTGCTAATAACATTCCCGACCCCCTTATCTCCTCTGCTTCTCCTTGTCAAGAGAAGGGGGAGGTGATGGAGGAGGAGCGGAGGGGGGTAGAGGAGGGCGAAGAGGTCGGCATGGAAACCAGCGATGTTGACTCACTGCAGTGCGAGGAGCTGACCCACAGGTGCTGACCAGTCGAATTGAGGACTTGGTGATGATGCAACTGACAAAGACAAAGACAAAAGAATATCACTACAAACTTGTCACTACACATTTAACCAATGTGTTCTAGAACGCTGCAACTGCTGTATCCTGACTGCTGGTAACCGTGGTAACCACTGTGTTCTAGAATGCCACCCCATTCCATGGAACACTGGCTCCCCCCGCGCGACTGTACTGACTGCATGGATGTATTTGGACGACTGGATACCGTGTTCAAAAAACGGTGCCAGTGACGTAGTCAAGACCATCTTTCATCGAGGCAGAGACCAGGACTAGTCGGGACCAAGTCAAGACCGAGTCCAAAGAGGTTCGAGTCCAAGTCAAGAGTCCAAATGAGAGGGACAGAAAAAAAAGAATGCTTTTGTTACTTGCCAATGAGATGAGTTTTTGCTCCCAGGCATACAAGAGGCATCAATTGTGAGTGCCCATTCTAGATGGATTTTAAAATTAAACCGATAACTTGTTTTCTGAACAAGCGCGCTTCATCAATGGTTTGTTTTGAAGGAGGTAGTTGGGAATTGGCAGAGTCCAAGACAGGTCTGAGACACAAAAAAAAAAATATCTTGAGACCGGACTTGAGCACCGGATGGTGGCCTGTTCATTCTAGTGAAAGTTGCTCACCAGGCACATACTGTAAAAAACATTTTTCAAGGTTCCTCATGCTTTTCTTTTTTTCCCGATAGAGCGACTTCCTGTTGACTTCCCACACACAAATTGATTTACTGGTACATGTTTATCAGACCCAATGCCTCAAATTCTGATGATTCAAACACTTCAGTTGAAAGGAAAAAATGGATTTATGGCTTCACTGCCTTGTGAATTTATATATGTGTATAGGAAAATGTATTTTTCATGTGACCTGCAGTTCCAAATGTAGCCACTGCGTACCAGCCCAACGCTGTTTCCTGGGGGTTTGACCTTTTGTCAGGTTACTATGACTACCGCTGTGTTCCACACAAGTTGACCGTGTTGCCATGGTAATCACAGTTCACCTTATTAGAGGGTAAACATATTTCCTAGCTTGTTTGATCCCAGTTTACTTTAATCTGAATTTATATCTTCATAACATTAGCTAACTTACTTTTTTTTTGCACTTGACCTGCCTTTGGACAAACTGGTTTGCTGCCAATTGACCCTTCCTAAGTCCCGCCCCTTTTTGCTCTGTGCTCCAATAAGAGTTGAGGAAACCTCGGTCAGAACTTCAGTCAACTTTCTCCTGTATATACATGTGCTAGGTTTGTCTATGTTGAAAAGACAGCCACTCTGCTTAATTGTTATTGGAGCACAGAGCAAAAAGGGGCGGGACTTAGGAAGGGTTAGTAGTCTTGGCCTTTACAAAAGGCTGTCACCTCTTAATTAATTAAAAACTGTCAGCTGTTTGAGCTGTTAAAGTTACCCTGTGGAGTTTGTGACCAATACTGACACTATGAACAGGTTGTTTGTATCTCATGCTCTATATTTGGATGTGCACTAGGATATACATGGACGTGCACATCAACACACTGAAAGTAAAAATAACAAGAAAACTCCACAGGGCACCTTTAAAAAGCTCTACCAGTTATTTTAAACAGAAAAGGCACATACTTTATGAATTTCTTCTATTTGCTGGTTAATATTTACTGAAAACCTCTGCCACAGTTCTGTTGTAATAAATATCAGCAGCATTCTCAGGTAATTTTACACAAAGGTTGTGAATAAATATAAATGGCCTTTTGCATTTTAAACACTTCCAATGAATGATAAAGAATTATGCTTGCAGTCAATGCTAACTCAATGTTAGAAAAACATGAAACTGAGCATTGCAAATATCAAGTCTTAAAAGGAAACTCTAGTATTACGACTACTGGTCATTTATCACCTTGAAGAGATTTTGAAGAACTTTCTGTCAAAAACTATGTCAGCTAGAGTTGCAGCTTTCCAAAACCAATTAAACAGTAATCATCTTAAACTAGCTAAACTAAAATGTTTTAATCTATAATTTGGGGGATTTTCATTCTTCCAGATCTGTTAAAGGATTTCTGTCTAAAACTATCTTTAAATAATGTCTTAAAATCAGTTGTAATGTCTGAAAACACTGGAGGAAACAGAGCTGTGCACTCAGTTCCAAATCATTTATTAGCCAGCCAGTCTACATTCACAATGATTTGCTAAAACACAAACAACCAGCCTCCTACAAATAATGTTCATGTGCCACTAGTCCGCATTAGAAAATAAATAAATAAAAGAGAAAAGTAATGTAGGTGCAGTGATTACAGTATGTGTGATGGCAACACTCAGAGCAGGAGGGATGACTATGATTTTTCTTTAAAAGAGCTTTTATTGCCTCAAACCTGCATTAATCAACATTTTTTAGTTTTTTTTTAAGCTTCTTTTAGGTCCTAGTTTTGGTTTTATGGCACATTTACTGTATGATTCAATATTTGTGTTTTTTTCTGTACACCACCTGCCCAGCACCAAACTACAGACGGATAAAGTTAGAGACCAGCTGGTGAATAAAGTGGAACATGTAGCAGCTAAACAGTCAGATATTTTTTCTCAGGAGACCAAACCAGAGCTGAAAGAGAGTCACCATTGGACTGGCATTCATCAGATGGACACAAACAACTCCAATGGGATGGTGTTCTCTGTCTGTGATAACCACTTTATACAGGGTCTTAAAAAGTCTAAAATCCAATCACCTAAATATGATTTTGTGTTTTGGGGAAAACAACGGATATACAATACAAATTTTCCTTCATATCCTTCATACCTTTTTCTAGTACGGACATAAAATAGGTCTTGAATTGAATTGATAATAGTCTTAAAATGGTCTTTAAAAGTCTTAAATCTATCCTGTTAAACCCTGTTTATAAAGCGAGATAGTGGTAGCTGTGTATCTGTTTGATGTTTCTCCATCTGAGTTGAGATGATTGATTAATGCAGTGTTTTTACAGTAGTTGGCATCTACACAGAAATACTGCTGAATACAAATAACTGAAAAATATATTCAGTGAATATTTCGCACACATTTACGAAAAACTTAATTTCTCCATATGGTGTAACTTTTCCTTCAAAACATAATGTGCTAATCCCAAATGGTTGTGTATGAATGGAGGTGATGGCAGACAAGGCTACCGATACAGTGTTGTAGTTGACTTAAGGCCTTCCAAATACATTAAATGTTAAATGGGTTTTCATCTATCTCCACGGTTTTACCACAAAATCCTGTGAAACTGACACAACCTTCAGCTGCTGTAGGTGCTACTACACACTGCTGCTAAAGGGAAATGTCCAGTGTTTTGTCACGGCAATCAGAGAGGTCCCAGAGGAGGAGCCTGTTGTGTGTATGTACTGTATGTATGTAAAGAATGTATATTAAGTCTATCTGTATATGAATGTAGGAACAAAGCCAAGCATGTCTGTTATGTCATATATGTGCTGACACATTATGTGAGAAATATGACGTACAATGTCAAGACAATCAGTTTGATGTTATAATGGTTAGGTCGGTTTAGTTGTTGTTGATAGTGTTGGGCAGTAACTCATTGCTAGTTAGAATATTACTTCCCCCAGTAACTAGTAGTGTAACTAATTACTATTAGATTTCAAGTTTCAGTAATTAGTTACAACTTTACTTTTGTTCCCACCCTCCTACTGATTTAAAATCCAGCAATTCAATCACATCCTTGGATTATTTTTTGTAATCGTGGAGGAAACTAGTTTGGAAGATGGTAACACATATATTCAGCTGGAAGTATTCACATTACTTTGATTTTAACTAACAAAACTGGATTTCAATCGACGTAAGTCTGAATTTTGGAGAGAAGGAGTAGCACAAAAGTAATATAACTAGTGTAACTAATTACTGTTGGCAGGGAGTAATAAGTAAAGTAATAATATTACTTTTTTTGAGTAACTAGCCCCACGCTGTTTATGATGATGAAGATTATTAATGGATTAAGGACACCACACTGTGAAGGCTATTAAAAATTTACCAAATTTTTAAAGAAAGATTATTTGCACATTTCAGAAAAGACTTAAGAGAAAATGTCCCAAATAAAATATGTGACAGTTGCTCTTCATTCTGTTCATGAAACATAAAACGGTGATATTTAGTTGTGGTATCTAATGTGTGGATTGTCACAGGATCAAAGCACCAATAAACTGTTGTAAAAGAAACCCTGTCGGTGATTGGGTGGTTACTGGTGATTGCAAAGGAAATGTTGGGATGTTTAAATAAAGACAAAAAAGGTTTTTGCTTTCCACTTTTGTTCGTCTACATCAGGTGATTAGGAATATATGCAGCAAGTGAGCGGAACAACTACAAAATAATAAACCTTGTAAAACTGGATTTTGACTCACAGGCCGTCTACAACACAGCGTTGATATTGTACCTTGGTGTTAACCAGTCCTTTAAATATTTGGATTTAATCAAATAATGAGCAATTGATTGACACAAAAGGATCTTTTAGGGCCCCTCAGGGTCTGGGGAAGGTGTCTACAACAAGGTATAAGTAGAGCATTAGCTACCTTCCTTGGTGTTTTACAGTTTTTATAGAATAAAATAGTAGTAATAGTATACACAGAAAACAATCTAGATGTTTTACTTTATTTTTGACTTGTTTTGACATTGTTCAGTCTAATTGTTACCGTCAACTATGCATAAAAATAAGACATTTAATAAAAAAGGAATCAGAATGAGAACTACTTTTATTGGCCACATACACAAAATAAGCATAAATAAACAGGCTCAAGCTTAAAAAAAATAGACAGAAACTACTATGTTCATATATACACAAACAACAATAGCGCGATTAGTGTAAAGGAAGCTGAAATACATATTTATGTGCTCATATCCTCTCATAGCCACTTATCTCATGTACATAAAAATACCAGCACAAAATGTATATGTGGTACACAAGGTAGGTGGCTATGACAATATATATATATACATATACATATACATATACTGTATATATATACACTGTATTTATATATAATATGCACAGTTTCAACAATGAAAATAAATAATATAGAGCATATATGGAAACATGAATGGTAGCAAGGTTTTGCCAATAAAATGGGGAAAAAGTGATAAAAATTATAAAATGACTGATGGTAAACCAAAATTAGTCAGAATTTGAACTTCCTGGAATAAAATGATGTGATTTCCAAATGTTTTTTATATAAATACTATCTCTTTTCCCCCAACTATTTTACTATTAAACCAGTTTACCCCTTCTTCTTACACAGCATCAGCTTTAATTATTTACAGTTGAACATGGGAAGTTTTCATTCTAGAGAAGTAAAAAAAGGAATAATTGGTGTGATTAATATAAATATATACTGTATATATTTCCACACATTCTGCCAAGTTAAGTAAAGTCTGACTTTATAGGTTTAATGTAGTCCACTTGATCCATTGACTAATGGTGGGTGCCAATTATTTGTGACAGCTTTTTTTTTTTAACTTAATAAGTATTAAAACTAATTTCTTCCTATAAAAATAAACTAACACTGCATAATATGATTATTTCCAGAAGATGGCAGTAAAGTAACATTTATGAAAACCCGCTGCAGTTGAACTCTCCGTGAAGAAGATCAGTGGCCCCCAGGAAGCATGGCGCTGGTTGTGTACAGGCTCGACTCCCTGCGTTACGGGATCCAGAGGTAACAGCGGTGTGATCGCGGGGGCTCTAGCCGACGAAGAGTGAGTGAGAGGCGGCTTGGGAGGAGAGAGCGTCTCTCCTGTTTGTTCGAGAATCCCACCAATGGATGACAGCCTGTCTCGGAGGGAGGCAGCAGCTCGTCCGAGGAGGGTGTCCGCTGCTGCCGCTGCTCGCGCCGCCGAGCTTGGAGCTAACACTAGCCTGCAAGATGGCGAGGTGATCGAGGTACACCCAGCCCGAGAAACTCACCTCGGCCCGGGCAGGCTGAGTGCCGCCGGTGGGAAGATGGAGCGGAGGAACTCGGTGCTTCAAGTTGTCCACCAGAGACATATGCCGAAGGAGCCCCTCAAGTTCCACATACCGAGGAAAACCAAGGAAAAGAAAGGTAGCGGGGCTTCGTGCAATTAGAGTATAATATTTATAATATTAGAAAGTAGTTGTGTGTATTAATTTACCTTTAATCTTTAATTTAATTCATTTTTACGTCTCAACTCGAAGTTATCAGTCCCTTTAACGTTCGGGAGTAACGTCAACGGAAAAGATCCGTTATCGGACGGCTAAACACCCATTATCGGACGCGTTAATTTCTGAGCTGTCCTTGCTATAAAAGGCCACAGAGTTACTCAGGTTCACCGTTGTGTGTGCCGTGTGTTCAACAGTGCTGCGGTGTAACGTTATATTCACCACAAGGAGCCAAAGAAAAGCCTTGTAGAGGCTGTGATGTGTTTTGAGGAAGCGGCTAACGCGAGGCTAGCGGTTAGCCAGCTAACGTTAATTACATGCCTATTCGTTACCAACTTAACGTCTGTTGTTCAGTCAACAGCTCGTTTTCGTTGTGTTGGCAGGTGACTGTGGACATTATCGGATTCAGCTCTGTGTCTAAAGATCGGGGTTTTAACGTTAGTAATAGCTAACGCGGGGTAACCGCCTCCTCGATTTGTTTATGTTTGCGTGCGTTGCGTAGACATGTACAGTGTTGCGTAGACATGTACATTGCGCATGCCCTGTTGTGTTTATTTTTGTTTATGGTTTGTTATTATTAAAGTGAGAACTGACTAAATCAGGACGTTTGTCCCTTTTTTAAAAGTCAGTTCAAGGTAGTTTAGTGTTGGGGGGGTTAAAGGTGGCCACCGAGAACTATTACACAAAAAAAAAAACATCGTATTGTGATCATTTTGGGCGATCTGCACCAAACAAACATACCTTCTTTTATTTTAAATCTAAACAACCAGATTTGTGTCTTCGGCACTACAGTACCTCAGTGTTTTTGACCCACAGTTGGCCTTTATCAGGAACACTGCAGCTCTTGTGGTTTGCATATTGTTTCCCCCGATTTGCATGTTGCACCTGGCCATATTGCGATTTACGATAATTTTTTCAATTCGTTGTGCAGCCCTACCGAGAACCCACAATCCCTGTGCACCACATACAGTCACAGTAGACAAACAGCTCGAGGTTAAATGACGACTCTCACCCGTTTGCACAGTGTATTTCACCTTCTTCTGTCCGGACTGAGGTTTATTGTCCCAAGATGTAAAACAAAGCGGTAGAAAATAGGACTGCACCATATGGTAAAAATAACCTATTGTGATTATTTATATCGCGAGTCACGATTATGTGGGAATGCCCGTCTCTTTAGCACTGCAGTACTTCATTATTTAGGCTGTTCTGTCACACGTTTTACCTTTTTAATAAAACACAGCAGCTCTTGCGGTTTCCATATTGCACCTGGTCATTTTATGAGTCTGATAATGTTTTGATTAATTGTGCAGCCCTAGCATTAAAAAAAAACCTTTGTTCCACCAGCTAACAAGTTGTTGTTTTTATCTGCATGTTTACCCTTATTTATATTAGTGGTTATTTATCATTTTTTTTTTATTGATCTCTCTTTATAGGTCCTTTAAGAGCCTGGAGCACTTTTACTTTTATCTTTATCTGTTAACATGTTTGTGTTAGGATTGTCTACAAAAAATAACGTAAAGGGAAAAAAGATTTTAAACTCCGTCTTGACACCTGGGGAGAGGTCAGGAAAGAGACAGACAGACAGACAGACAGACAGACAGACAGACAGACAGACAGACAGACAGACCTATTAGCTCTATATGTCCATGAACTGTCTCTGCCTGAACCGGGAGCTTGTGGTACCAGGGGAGCGTTGGTGTTTACACCGCTAGCCCAGGAGCTTTGGACCACTGGGAGGAGAAGGTTTTCAGGCCTGGGGCGGGAGGGATCCTGGGGGGGGGGGATCTACTTAGTGAACACAGTGGGACCGAACACAGTCTCAGAGACAGACAGAGGCCAGTTTGACGACTGTATTCAGCCCAAACTTATCCACAATCAGTTCTATTTACCTAACCTGATGCCTTTACCCCAACACAGAGGGCAACTGTACATACAACACTATCTGACAGAGAGAGGAAAACTATTGGAAGGGAAAAAAGACTGATTTTACACATCAACATGAGTTTACCTGTCATGTCATGTCAAGTCTAGTCTGTGGAAATAAACCTGATGTTTTCTGTTGCATGTTACTTCAGAGGTAAAAGATGAACCCAGTTTTGGTTTCTGGCCACCTGGATTCTCCGTCTAATAATCAGCAAAAGGAAATGACAGTGACAATGGAATTGATCTTCTTTATTAGCTGTGTGAGACTTTTGTTTCAGCATGTAGACCATCATCACATCATCATGTTTTTGTTACTAGCTGACACCTACGTAACTCAAGCTGAGCACACAGCTGCAGGAAATCATCAGACACCTTATTTACATTCCAGTCAAATTCTCACTTTACAAACAATGAACTGTAATCAGTGTTAGTATACAGCATACGGATTAAGGGCTTGTTACACTGTCCGTTTTGTTGCTTTCTCCCTTTTTATATGAATTATAACATCTGTCAGCTTTTTTCACCGTTTATGAAATATGTCAAAGATGTGATATTTACTTGAAGGCACTTTCTTTGTGCACTTTTTATGCAGCTGTGGGTGGAGACGCATGATGTAATTTTGCATGTTGGCTGATTTGAAATATTTAAATTAAATTATTTTGGAGCTTTCATTACATTCAGCTGAATCACTGCAGTATTTCTGGGTCTGCCATATTGTAAACACTATATGCGTGTTTCTTTATGTATAAAAGTAGCTTTCACTGGCCCAGTTAATCTGGCTCTTGATGCCTAGTGTTGTTCCAGTGGTTGTGAAAGTATGAGCTCATTAAACGTGACTGGGAATTAACTTTTGTTACATTTCTGTCATGAGTGGATGTGTTTGCACATCAACAAGTACCGCTCTCACGCTCCAGCTGAGCCCTTTCCTCAGGCAGCACCGTCGGTTCTTTAGTCTCCTGAGAATTTGGCACAAAAAAAGGCTGCAGTTGTCCTGTTATAATTGGGGCGGGCTAACAACGATTTTTCTTGGCTCCCCAGATGCCCCAAGTGAGGGTGAGGCTCACCTGAATGGTGCTGATAGCTGCACAAAGGATTGGGAGTAATGGGACATTTAAGGTTTGGCACCTTTGTTCCAATGAAGGGAAATCTTAATGCTGCAGCAAACAATAATGCTTTAGACAATAGTGTCCTTTCAACTGTGTGTCAACAGTTGGTTGAAGGCCCTTTCCTGTTTCAATATGTCAGTGCTTTTCCCAGTTTTATGGGGAAGAACTTGGCAAAGGAACCTCAACCCCATCTAGCACCTTCAGTGAATGCTGACTGTGAGCCAGTCTGCCAGATCTCATCCTCCCAACATCAGCATTGGACATCACCAATGCTCATGTGGCTGAATGGGAGTATATATTCCTACTCTTAGCCATGTAATGTATGTGGTAGGCTCTGGAATCAAATGCTGAGGGTTCAAGCTTGAACAGTTGCCAGTAGTGCTTGGCCATATACCGGATCAACTGGTGTACTGGTTTGAATTTCCCTGTTTGATGTGAAATTTTCATATACAGCCATACTGAAGCGTAGCTGAAGCAACCGCTATAACTCTTCAATAGCAGCATTATTGTTTGTGCTGTAAGGAACTCTTAAGTGGTGTAGTATTGAGACTGAAGCCCTGTTAACTGCTTACTCTTCTTACTGGCTTTATAACATAATAACAACCCACAACTAACTCTCTTTAACAGAGCAAAACACAATAATACAACACTTTGTGACAGTTTCTTACTTGTGCAATAAAACCTTTGAGAAATAGTATTTTATTATTTTTATTATATATATTTTACAGTCAATGATTTTATGTCAGCTTGTAGTGTTCATTCAACTATTTAAGCAGTATAAAAGTTGTCTTTTTAAATTTAGTTTTTACTTGCACACATCACTGCAGCAAACATTCACAGACAAGCTGAGAGCTCAGTGGAAAAATATTACTTTTGATTATTAACAATCATGAGTGAAAAGGTGGTGAAGGATTATTATATGGACTCATACTGACCTTTTGTGTATCCTCCTTTCTTTCAGCTCTGTTCCAGTATGTCTCCACTGAGTCCAGGGAGTACGAAGACATGCTGACCATCTTGACCTCCAGCTACATCGACACCTTCTCCACCGGCTGCTTCACCTACTGCAAACCTCGGCTCGTCCACAGCGAGCTGCTGGAGAAAGAGGTGAGAGATGGAGGTGCTTAAGGTAGAACTGGAGGGAATGTGTATACACAAGTGTGTTGAAAGGAAAATAATAAATAAAGAAAGAAACTATCATTCAAACAACATTTAATTGTTTACTTTGGAGCCGTGTTTGATTTGAGTAGGTGAGCTTCTTATTAACTGTTTGTGTTTCAGTTTGTAGAGAAAAGGAGGGAGATGAAGTCGGACGGGAGAACAGACAAAGAGCTGGAGGAGAGCTACTGTTTCCTGTTGGCTGATACTGTTAAGGTGAGATTAATACTGAGCTGTGTCGTCTTGGTTAAAGCCAGCGTATTTTTGATATACTTAAGTGAAAAGTATGACAATAAACCAAACTGTATGTCTTGATGGGGGACGTGGCTGAGAGGACAGAATGTGACATTGCTTTGTACTTCAACCTCAGTGTTCTTAAACCTAGAGGTCAGAATGACTACATTTTCTCTGGAAAAGAAGAACTTTATTGTAATAAATAGTTAAAATAGAGACCATCCAATAGTCAATGAGTGTTTTCCTTTGAGATTGATTTTATTATCCAATTCATAATCTAATACCTAATTTTTCTGAATTATATGTGTGTGTTGTAGCTGCCTGATATCTGTGAGAAGGGGCTGTTGGTGGGTCAGAGCTGGATCACAGTGCTGGGAAACCCCACTAAAGGTAGGAGTGAGCAGATACATGCTGATACATACATAGAAAATAACTCAACATTCCTTTCCTGTTTCTACCTTTTTTTTTTTTTCTGTGCATGCTGAAATGAACAGTCACAAAGTGCTAACATGTCATTTCTAGTGGTGACTCTAAGATCAAAGACAGTGACGGTGGATGTAGGAGAAAGAAAATTATCTGTGATTGTAATTTTGTTCTTCTTTGTTGGTCTGTGTCTGTGTAGGAGTGTATCTGTCCAGGTACTCAGACCTGCTCCAGATCAACTCCATAACCCCTGGAGCCACAGGGGAGATCATAATCTTCAAAGTGATGAAGGTAAATCTGCTGGCCCGGTTGTCATCATCATCATCATCACTGCCTCTGTCAGCTCGTCTGTCAAGAGGCAGGAAATGTGATTTAACCTTTTTGTGCTTCCTCCACAGTGCAGACCCTTTTTTCTCTATTTTTACTACTTTTCTCTCAACTACAGGCCTTTTAAGGTCACAACTAGATAATTTGGGAGGATATTTTGTTAGGTTTGGATGTTATAGCTTATAACAGAAACTCACAATCATCAGGTCCCAAACAACACCAAGCTTATGTTGATGAAGTGCACAGACATAAATTACTACTGAGGGTTTGCTGAATTTAAAAAAAAAGGATATTTGCACTGGAAAAAGACTAAACTCAAAGCAAAACTGTCCCAGTGTCTCCCAGCTCGGCTCAACAGAACTCAACATTCACAACCTCTCCCACACTCAACAACAATGAAACAGTGAAGCCATGTGCTGTGACTGGGATTTCTACCTTGTGGGATAATCTGAGTGCAAAATCTTAAGATAAGTGCGAGACTTTACTCCTACAGAGGGCAACGGCTCAACCCTCTTAAACCTCTGACATCTGCCGGACGGCCAAAGGTTATATTGTATCCAGAAAACAGGTTTGAACTGTTAATCATTCTCCATGAGAAAGCAACGGAGATGGTGCCAATAACTATGAATTAAGGGAGAATTATGAAGAGTTTGAGCCAACAGAAAGGACGCTTGGTGATTGATGGGAGTGGAAATAATCCCTCAACTGACATCTGAACACCCAAAAAAATGATGAAATTATTCTACATGTGGGAACTTACTATTTATGCAGAGACCAATCAGAAGTGAAATTGCAGGATTGTTGTTGTTTTTGATAACAAGCTCATAGATCTACCTTCATCCAACCTTTCCCCTTCAGACAGAATGGCTCCAACTCAACCTTCAAGCTCAGCTACACATCCAAGATCTGTATTTTACTGTCTAGAATCTGAAGAATGAAAGCACTTGAACGACAGCTGAACAGAAAGAAGAACAAACACGATGCCAGGACCTTTCTGCCACATTGAACCTCCTGAGCTTTATTGTTAATTGTCAACAGGCCACCACCTTGTTTGATGACTCTGTACTTCAATATGTGATATAAGTGGCAATAATCAGGCTTTGACAGTGGAGTTTTATCTGTTTGTTGTTTCAGGGGAAAGTGAAGAGCATATATGAAAACATGAAGAACCTTTTAGATCCAACGCCGCGCTTCGACAGCCACATCTCCAAGAACGCCAGCAAAGTCACCTCGCTGACCTCCTACCGCGCCCTCGAACTCACACAGGTAAATAAACTCTCTCAAACACATGGAGAAAAAACTCCATCAGTAAATACACAGAAAAGGACCAAATAGCTCTGGACTACAAATCACTATTTAAATGGTTTAAGCTGTTTTAGTGATCAACGTGACTTTTTTTTTATTGCTGTAAAAATGAATATTTAAAGAAGTGAAGCACTAAACTCTGTTTTTGTTTATTTCAGCAATATTTCTACGAGTATTGCTTTGATGAGCTGCGACAGCGGCCTCGCCAGGTCTGTCCGTACGCCGTTGTCTCCTTCCAGTTTAAAGGGAAAGATTCTCAACTTCCCAGCAATCCTCTGGCCCCCATGAGGTATGGAAATCAACAAATTATAATTTCAGCCTGTGTTATTTGTGATGTAAAACAGCAGTAATGTAAATTAAACATGATTTAATGAAATAATGGGCTTAAACTTACAAAACCATCATAATGGTTGTTCCATTTAAAGGTGAAGCTCATGTTTACACTGAATGCTGCATGAGTTACAATCTTGATCTCAGCACTAAATATCTGAAGTCATGTTCTTTGTGTGCTGTGTTCGATTCCCAGGTTGAACAGCCAATCAGCAGAGGGGAGTAAAGGTGAGCACATCAGACCTTAAACAAGATAGTTGACACTTACAGATCAATTATATGACCTTTATTATAGGAAGTCTTCTTTTTCTTGTCTTGCCCTGAACCTGAATTCTGATGAGCTGTCTTCTCTCGCTCTCTCGCTCTCTCTCTCTTACTCTCACTCTCATTGCTCTCTTACTGCTTTCTCAGAGCGTGCTCAGTTCACAGTGTGGACTGGAGATTTGGTGAAAGGTGACAGAGTTCTCTTCCAAATATCCCTTCGATCCTTCTCTCCTCCCTTTCTGCCCCACAGACTGTGAGTACTGAACTTCTGGCTATTTAAGCAAATGTTGAACACTCCAAAACTGTGCCTTTTGTAACCTAAACATCTAATCAAATTTTAAAATGTGTTTCTCTCTGTGTGTCTCCTTCAGACCAGAGAAGTTGGAAATCGGTTCGTTGATGAGGCTCGACCAGGTGACCAAGCTCCTCCCCTCCGAACTGTTCTCCTACAACCTCTACAACAACAGCCAAGAAGGTGAAGTCCAATGTACATTCACACTGATGCTACATTACACTGCAGGGTGCCGCTGATGAGACTTTAAAGACTGATACTTATAACGTTAAATTTCTTGTATTCAGCATTTCTGAAAGGTTATTTACACAATCAGCCATAAATCCTGTCAGAGGTGGCTGTATGCGTTCTTTGTCATTTGTTCTGTATTATCACTGTTGTTTGTATCTTGTCTAAATATTTGTAAAGTCAAACTAGAACAGAAATTAAATGGGATTTTGTGTGTGTAGTTGTGAAGAACGGCCATTGCTGCAGTCTCCTGGAGGTGGCTGACAGAAGTCGGTCTACGACCAGCCTGTCGAGACTGCTGCACGAACTGGAGATGAAGAGAGTGGTGAGTTCAGCTTAGTTTAATTTTATAGATCAGTTTATGTTTGCTGTGTGCACTGGGTGCTGATACCTTACAGGGCAGTAACACTATAGAGAAATAGCAGGATCTTATATACAGAACAAACACAAGGTATTGAACATTCACAATGTGATGACTGTTAACATATGGCAGCTAGGGCCTTTCTTTTCCTCAATGGTAAAGACAACCATTTCTTTATTTGAAACAGACTTATATTAATTCATAGTTACCCCCCTCTATGCACTGAAGATTTTGAGTGGCAAGCTCCAAACTTTCTCCATGTTTACCTGTTGTCTTGGTTTTTTTGGTCTGATGTACATTTCACCAGAACTATTTCCATCAGTACAACTACAGAGTCATGTCATACTCACCACTCTGCTTGTTATTTTTTATTGCTGTTAAGATGTTGTCAATGAAACTCAACACTTCCTGCACAGGTGTTTCACATTAAAGGTGTTCCAGCTGCTCAGTGGGCTTAATCTCTCCCTTCACTGTTGGTAAAAAGTGTTGAGTTTCCCTGAGAGACAAAAGAAAACAGCAAAGTCGATGCGACTGCGAAGTTTTTGTGAATGACTATTGTAAACATGTTAAAAAAGAAAGTGAAAGCAGCAGTGTGGTGAGTATGAAATGACTCTTTTGTAATTAGTGCTGGAACTTTACAATCTACTGAATTTCTCCTGTTACCCACAGTTCAGTTTCAGTTTCTTTCTTTGTACCCACACACGAAAGACAAACATGATGAAAGTACTTAAGGCTCCAATAATCAGTGCTTAAAAATGGAAAAATAATAAAACTTCTAAAATAGATATCTGCCAGAATAAGTAAGGTACAATGCATTATATACAGGTAATCTAACCCCCCTCAGTGTCTCTTATCTGGCCTTTGTGCAAAGGACCAGCCATTATTTGCTTGTGCTGACCTTATTTGAATACTGGTTTTTATGTGAGAATTTAAAGTAGTCTTTTTGTGTCACATATTCGGAAAGACATTTACATGTGTAAATATCTTCCATAGATGATTGTCCCCCCCCCCCAACTGAGAGCTTTGAAAACACAAGAGTTCATTTTCTGGAGAATATGTGTGTAATTTAATGGAAGCTAAAAGTTAATGCCTATAGAGCTGTAACAGCAGGAGGACAATGAACTGTAGGAAGAGTGCTGTAAAAGATTGGAAGAAAGCCAAAATAAGGAAGGAAGGAAAAGTTAGAGTAAAAAAGAAATTAAAGAGAAGAGAATAATTGTTGAATAACAGTCTCTTCTCCCTACAGGTTTTGGTGACACAACTTACAGAGAAAGGCTTTCTCATCCTGCTGTCCAGTGTTCAGATGGCCACACCCACTGGTATGTCACTGTAACCTTGCACATTATGTAGAAGATTAAATGTTTTTCATTATAAAAATGAAGAATAAGGCACTAAAGTGAGGGTATTTACCATCTGATGCCTTTTGTATGTGCTTTTTATCACTGCGTGAGGTGAAGTATTCTACTTTATCCACAGCCACTTGCCAGTTAGCAAAATAGTAAAGGTTTTATTGATTCACAATTTCCATATTTTGGACCAGTACACTCTTAAAATGTAAAGTTTTTGTTGTTTTTGTATTTTCAGAGAGAGGAGAGAACTGGAACAGGTGTCTTCAGGCCTTGTTTGTCTTCCCAGAGTCCAGAGATGTGGCTACATCCAGTGAGTAACACATACATTTTACAGATTATGTATTATCCAGTGGGGATGTCCCGATAAAGTTTATATATTTATATAGATGTTGTTTTTCTTTTTTCTTCCCACAGCATTAAGCTCTGCCTCCTCTTCCCATGATGCCTCAGAGTCGTTGATGCCTGGTGTCACGGTGATGCCACATCTGAACCAGTTTATCCCAGCGTTGCACCACGCCCTGGTCAAGGCCCGCGCCAACCCCCCTCCTGAGCTGTCTGCCGGCGTGGAGCGTCAGGCACGGGAATACCTCATCGGCCAAAACGACGGCAAAGTGCGACCAACTTTTCTTTAAATCGTAACCCCAAAAATATCAGTTTTGTTTTATGTTTCATTAATTGGATTTTCTATCGTGCTCTTTTATTTGTTTATTGAATTATGGTGATGCTGCTCGACTGCCCAAAATTCATGGATGGTCACCAGTGGGGCGATTATTCATGTCATTCAGTCATTGATTGGAAACCGAAGGGACAATCTTAATATTAGCACTTAACACTAGAGTCTCCAGATGCCATGTAATATTCAATATGACTGTTTGCTGGTGATTCTAAACCCATGGGCACCAATCTGTCCCAGCTTCCACTCTTCTGGGAAGTCTTTTCACAAGGTGTTTAAACCTGGATGCAGGGAGTTGCTCCCATTCAGCCACAAGAACATTAGTGATGTTCATTACTGATGTTAGTAATAAGGCCCCAAAAGTTTCTTGTAGGGTTTTCCACTGCAAACATTTCTTTATGGAACTGGCAACGTCTATATGTCTATGTCTTCTGTTTGTTCCTTTGCTCATTCCTCATAACATTAAGGCACCTGTCTTTGCTCCCCAGGTTCGACAGTACCCCATGAGCAAGTACGAATCCAAATTGGATGAGCCAGGAAAGCCGTTTCCTGCTCCCAAACACCACAGACTGAACATGGACGGATATCTGCGCTCCTACCTGTATAACCCCGTCCTGTACCTGCTGTCAGTGGCCCGGGCCAGGCTGATGATGGAGGCGCTCTGTGGCCCTGAGGAGCCTCAGGATGTGAGGCTCAGGAAGAGCTGTGGAGGCCAGAGAGAGGCGACGGGGAAGGAGATGACAAGTAGCGCTAAAGATGGACAGACCAAAGCTCAAAAGGTGAAAACTGACATTCATTCATTCATTCATGACTTTCTCTTGTGGTTTTTGTTATGTTGGCTTTTCAGTCCGTAGCGAACTCAAATGTGTTTTCTTCGTCGCTCAGATGCAGCAGCTCATAGACCTGGTTTTAACCTGTAAGAGGAATGCGGAGAATGAGGTGAACAGGGAGGAAGGAGGAGGAGGAATGGTGAAGGCACCAGGGAGGAAGAGGCGACTGGAGCAGGAGAAGGCAGAGAGGGCACTCAAGTTCCTGAAGGCATCACAGGAACCTGGAAGACACAGCAAGATTCCAGGTGAGGAGAGAAGAGGCAGAGTAACACTAACGGCTTCTTTTCCCCTGCCAGCAACACCTTTAATTGAGGCGTTCATGTTCATATTTTCACTGGATTTTAAGAGACTCAAAGCAATTTACCTAAAATGTAAGCTGAGATCAGGAAGGAGCTCACCTCACCAGCATGAATGAAGGAGTTAAAGTATCTTTTGGGCCCCTTCTTGAGTGAGAGTAAAGGCTAAATTATGCTTTGCTTTCTAAGTTTTGTTATCTGCTCATGTCCTTGAAGGCACAAGCCTGTGTATAGCCTGGGAATACCTAAAGCTCTGGAGATGTATAGCTGATATGAGCATTGCGTTGGTTTGTCTTCATCACTCTGCAGATGGTTTCTATGCCACTGTGTTGCGTTTCGACTGAAACTAAAACGCTCCCTCGTCTGTCATCAATCTTTCTTGTGGTTTGTGGACAAGAGCATGTCATGCAGCGAGGAAGAGTTGTGTGTGTGTGTGTGTGTGTGGGGTGTGGGTGGGGGGTGGGGGTTGGGTGGGTGTGGGTGTGGGGGTGGGTGGGTGTGGGTGTGGGGGTGGGTGGGTGGCGTGACGTGACTCTCAGAGAAGATTAAGTCTTCTGGGTTTTGCATGAGTCACTTCCCAAGCAAAGTTGCAGACCATACTGTGCAGTGTAGTTACATCTCTGGGGAGGTGTACGTCAAGGTTCGCTTGATTTGATGCAAAAATATAAATCAGGCTTAAGGAAGCAAAGAAAAAAAAAATCTACTTGTGAATGTGTGTGATACTTATTATAAACTTTGGGTTGTACTTACTTCAACCTGCAGAGACGAATTCTCTCTTTGCACTGCTAAGAGCAAACTTTTTTGAGGTTGCTCTGTTAATAAAGTTTGTGTTTGCTTTGCATTCAGTCTTAAGAGATTCCTTTCACTTCTTATTTTGTTGTTAATCTTGCAATCGATGAGCGATGTGTTGTTTACTGAGATGTTTTCTTTTGTTTTTGGCTGCTAGTGGAGGGAAACCAAGTCCCAGCCTCACCTGGCTCCTTTGCGTCTGTGATTGGCTCAGTGGGTTTGAAGGACGTCGATCTGAGGGAAGATGGATCTGAACTAGCTGCCAAACTTATCAGCCTTCTGACAGGTGACTGGATACAGAGACTGCTATACCATCACCATATCATCTTATTCCAGTTGGTCACATCAAAACACTAGAAGAAGATTGTAGGACATCATGAAGTCATTGGTTATGATGATGTTTCAGCATTTAAAAAAAAAACCTTAATGAAAAACAGATCTTTGTAAATGAATGTTTCTCTGCCCACTGACAGGCCTCAACCAGGCTGCCAGGGGAGCAGCCAATCAGAACGTTTGTGAAGTGCAAGAGGAGGTCCAGAGGGAGTCCTGTCCATTTGACAGGTTGGCCACCAAACTGGGTCTGCCCACCAACTGTGACATTGACCTGAGGAAGCAGGAGGAGCTGGAGGTAACGTGAAGCTTTCAGTAAATGTTTGTGACTGGGAGATATTTTAGCTTTCCAACAGATCATTGTATAGATACATAATAAAATCAGCTGTTGAAGTCAATGTTGTTTCATTTGGTAGCTGCATCTATGATACTATGCAAATGTGCACGATACATCAGATTATTAATTATTATAGCATTCTACTCTTTTGGTTTGACAGCGAGGGAAATTACAAGCCCTTTCAGAACTAGTGTGTGTAAATCAATGGTGTTTATCGGGGTTGCTTAACCCGATACCTACATGATGCCCGTATTTACCACATCAGTCGTGAAGTGATACCATCATTGGTTGACTGACTACACTGTGAAGGATGGAGCGCACACTCCTTGTTTAGTCAGATAAATTGATGATTAAATTGAACAATAACTCTAAACATACATTAAGCACTTAAGATGGACTTGGAAAAAAAAAAAAAGATAATTTCCTTAAGCATTTCCTGTGCTAGTTAGTTTAGCTAACACTACCAAAGGAATAACTTTATTAATATTACTTATCACAGAGGGAGTATTTTTATTACTGAAAAGAAAAGGTAATGATATACGTAGCTACAGTAAGAAATAAATAATTGCATTATTGTGTTTGTGTACAAGGTTCCTCATATAAATACTTACGTAATTGAGCAGGTAACAGGTAACAAAGTGTGTGTGTGTGTGTGTGTGTGTGTGTGTGTGTGTGTGTGTGTGTGTGTGTGTGTGTGTGTGTGTGTGTGTGTGTGTGTGTGTGTGTGTGTGTGTGTGTGTGTGTGTGTGTGTGTGTGTGTGTGTGTGTGTGTGTGTGTGTGTGTGTGTGTGTCTGTCTGTGTCTGTCTGTGTCTGTCTGTGTCTGTCTGTCTGTCTGTCTGTCTGTCTGTCTGTCTGTCTGTCTGTCTGTCTGTGTCCGTGTCCGTAGGAGCAGACGGCGGGCAGCATCAGTAGTTTGGAGGGATTCAGTCCCAGTTCCCACAGCGGGGAGATGAATCACCACGGAGTAGCAGGTAGAGGAGGAGGAGGAGGGCTGGGGAGGAGAGCAGGAGGATATGAAGAGGAGGAGGAAGGGGGGGAGATCCCGTGGGTCCTCATTCCCATTACAGGTTTGTCATAATATTCCCCAATATGACGTTTTTACCCTACCATGCAGCCGTAGTTGACTAGCTTCCTTTTTTGTGATCAGTGTTTTATTGCTTTTCTCTGTCCTTTTAAACACACACACAGTCTAGAGGCAGCAAATTGATATCACAATGTGGTATATTCTAGTATAGTATAGTATATTAAAGTATAGTAACACGTATATTTTATATCACCCATCACACAGTGTGGCTCCATTCTTCTAATCTCATTCCCATTGTAGCGAAAACTATTTCTAGATCAGTTCAGTACTCTGCCCAGCACTCAGGATTAAGGCAACAAACATCAGATCACAGTGTAACTGTGAACTCTGAACTGTGTCTACAGGTCTGTGTTCAGAGCGGTACACCCAGAGAGACAGAAACATCCCTCAGGACCCCCGCTTCCAGCACCTCACCACGGCAACGAGCATTACCACAACAACCAAACCTTCAAGGATGAGCCCCACCCCGTCCCCTGAGCCCAGCCCTCCTCCGTCCCCCTTCGAGTGCCCGTCCCCCGTCCCCAGCCCTCCTCTGTCCCCCTCCCAATGCCCATCACCTGACCCCAGCCCTCCCCCTTCGCCCAGCCAATGCCCTTCTCCAGAGCCCAGTCCTCCCCATTCCCCCTCTCAATGCCCGTCCCCGGAGCCCAGCCCTCCCCCTTCGCCCTTCCAGTGCCCATCTCCACAGCCTAGTCCTCCCCCATCTCCTTCCCACTGCACATCCCATGAGCTCAGCCATCCCCCCTCCCCCTTCCGGTGCCGGTCGCCAGCGCCAAATGAGCTCAGCCTGTTTAACAAGGACCACAGTGGTGCTTACGAGGGACGTTTAGCACCCACAGCCTCCAGGGAGTTTGCAGGTAACCTCACTGAGCTGTTATTACCACAGTTCTCACTGCCATGTCATGGACATTTCACTGAATTTAAATTATAATTGGTCCAATTGTTTCTGTATCTGCTAAAGCCTGGCTGTGAGAAGTCAGAAGGACTACTTAATATTCAAATTTCACTATAGATAAAATCACAGCATTCAGGACTTATGTCGTTACTCAGTATGTATGTATTGTGTTGGTAGTCTAACATAGTCTGCCTCCTGCAGGAGTGTCCAAGGACAAAGAAGAGAAACATCAGGGGAAAGTAAAGAAGAATGAAGAGCCATCCATCTCCATCCAGCCTTATATCACTCCAGCTCCAGAGAGGAGGACAAACCTCTCGCCCCCAGCACCCACTGAGCGAGAGAAGGAAGGTGGGAAGTTGCAGGCAGAACCTTTAGCGAAGGAAAAAGAAACTCAGTCAGTTGACAGCCTGCAAAAGCGAGGAGCCAACGAGGGTGAGCTAGAGGTCGATAAGGTGGTGAAAATAATTCAGGTGGCAGGTAGTGAGAAGGAGCAAAAGGGAGAAGCGAAGGAACTGGTAGTTGGCTCTATGTTTTCTCCATCCGTCTCCTCACCTCCTTCTCGTCCCATCCGATGTATTGACAGCATCGTGGACAAACATCTGGGCAAACTTCTCCTCTGAGATGCAGCTCGTCCTGCAGGAGGAGAGCATTCATTACAACTTCCCACAGTCCCCACACTCCACTTCAAACACAGACGCTACAGCACTTCAGCACACACCCCCACACACCCCCATATCACAGTTTTCACATTATGTCTCTTTCTACAACCCCTGCCCCCCTGTCCAGGACTACGTTAGCTCCCTACAGGACAGCATTAACAGCATGCTAAAAGAGTGTGGTGACAGCTGTCCGAGACACAAGCCCGCCACCAGTCGGACTCACACCGACGCCGCGTTGGCTTGCAAAGTCAGCGCTTTTGTGTCCAGCATCAGAGCAGCTAAAGCCAAAACAGGCGGAGAGGATGACGATGATGAACTGACAGCTGCTGACGGCGGTGCTTCAGTCAGTCAAACTCCTGCACTCTCCAGAGGAGGTGAAGCGTGGCAGCCACATACAATCCCCCAACCCGATACTACAAACAGCAGGAATACCGCAGCTTTTCACGTCACTTTACCTGTTACTACCTCTGTGTCTGGTTCTGTCTACAAGCCTACCAACACTGCCGTCCTCCATCCTGCTCCTAACATGTCCCCACAGTCCCACTGGACGCCACAGCAAAGTCGCACTTTAGAGACTAACAGAACAGTCGCTCATAACACGAGACAAACGCAAGAAAGCAGCGCCACCAGGACTGTGCAGTGTACCGCTGGTGTAGAGAGTGGGAGAAGTCTTGGAGGTACAAGTTGTGAGGGGGCTTTGCCAGGGTTCAGCGGTGTATCGAAGCCCTCGACAGAGTCATCACACCCCTCTGAGCCGGTCCCCGGGCCCAGCCCAGGCCCTGCTCCCCCGGCCACAGCCCTGAGCTCCCTGATCAGCCAGCTGCAGCCAGAGGTGTTCAACAGCCTGGTGGAGATCATCAAAGACGTCAAGAGAAACTCCCTGCAGTTCTACCTCCACAGCACCGAGCCAGAGGACCGGGTGTATGAAGACATCAAGGTAACTTATCAGGCAGAATAGTTCAGAGTAAATGAGTAATAGACCTTTTTCACAGCAGCCAATTTTGACATGAAACACAGGTGTTGTATTATATTAATTAAGGTTCTGTTCCATTCAGGTCAAACAGAGTTAGGATGCTGCTATTCTGTATAATTAGCCCACTAGAAAGGTACACTAAATAGACCGGGACCTTAATTAATATCATTTGTAACACCTGTGTTTACCAACTATTTCATGTGAAAATGGCTGCTGTGAAAAAGGTCTATTTATTAAAAATAGATAACTTGGATGCTTGAAAACAAACCTGTCTTTCATCTACAGTTAATCAGCCCTTCACAAGTGAATGTATTAATTTAGAGGAAATGGTTAGAAAGGTAATTTCATCCCAATAAACAAACATTAATGAATAAATAAACACAGACACCAGTGATCTGGTCCCACAGAGGGGAAGTAATGGCAGAGATTTATAAAGAAATAAGGTATTACTGATGTGGACTGATTGTATTTTTGTGTAAATTCAGTGTATGTGCGCGTATTTTCTTCTGTTGTAGGAACACCTGTTGAAGCAGGGTAACGTGGAGCAGAATCCCATTGCCTTTTTAAACCAAGAAAACTCAACAACAGACAACAGACTGATGGTCATCATTAAGAACAAAGACATCGCTGAGCACGTCCACAAGGTAACAACAGATTCTGTTTCTGTTGTGCTCCCTGCTGGTGACAGCTAACAATGTGGATGATCCAGATCTCATATGAACAAAGTCCCAGGAATGAATATCACACGATGAGTCTTTGATCTTTTTGTATTGTTAACTTTGTGTTCTCTGTTGGTTTACGCTCTTTCGATCTATGTTTCAGTTTTGTTCCTCACTTGCAGTTCCCCAGGGGGTTCAGTAAATGTTCTGTTGCTTGGTGTTTGTCAGCCTTGATTTGACAGGTGGGCTGCAGTTTGTTTTCCTCTAGGACCGTGGGAGAGAGGTGATCCAACTTCTTTTGTTTTTTTGAGAATCTCTGTCTTTGTGTTAGCTTGCCAGATGTTTAGTCTCTGGCAGTCACTCAAAGGTAGCTGCCACTTAACCAATAAACAAAGCGGTGAGGTTAGTTTGGTTTCTCACCGCAGCGACGAGGCGCTGCCAGATGGGTATACTGACTAATTGACTTGAGGCCCTATGGGATCACCATAAACCCTCTTGTCTGTAAAGATGCAGGAGCCTCTAGGCACTCTGATCTGGTCTTTGTCTGCAGCGATAGTGGCAGAAAATGAGAGAAAGTGAAATCAGTTGTCGCCCCCTAGCTGATACAGCTGTTGTATGCAAGTTTCAGTTCCTCTGTGCTGTGAGCAATGCAAAATCCCCTCAGAGCACATATGTTGACATTTGTGACGTGTTTCTTGGTAACTGTAGCATTAAGCAGTTCATGAAATCTTTTTAGTGAGCTTATTGTTCTTGTGTTGGTGAGAGTTTTACCTGTATTTTTGTATTTATTACGTAACCACGATGAAATACTGACTAAAAACATTTATTTTATTCTTTCTTTCTTTAATTTCTTTCTCTTGCTGATTTTGGTAGTGAGGCTTTTATTTGTGTTTTGGGAGGATAAATAGAGTTCACACCTGTAACAAAACATGCATAATTTGTGAATAGATGTGAACATCTGTTCTCCTGCATGTGTTCAGAAGATACACGTTAAATCAAGTCATGGCCACTAACAGTTGGGACACAAGGATACATGAGTTTGTTCATATTTTTTTTTTTTTTTTTTTTTTTTTTTTTTTTTTTTTTAAAATAATTTTTTAAAAAAATTTTATAAAATAAAAAATTTTTAAAAAAAATTAATATAAATAAAAAAAAACAACACTAAAAAAAAAGGTTAAGGGAAAAGGGGAGAAGAAAAAAGAAAAAAAAAAATAAAAAAAAAAAAAAAGAAACTGGGGGTGGGGGGTTTTTGGGTGGGTGGGGGGGGGGGGGGGGGGGGGGGGGGGGGGGGGGGGGGGGGGGGGGGGGGGGGGGGGGGGGGGGGGGGGGGGGGGGGGGGGAAAAAAAAAAAAAAAAAAGGAGGACAAAAAAAAAAGGGTTGTGGGGGGGGGGGAGGAGGAAGAAGGGGGGGGGGCTCCCCCAGGATCCATGAGAACCCGCGAGTTCATATGAGATCTCAGTCTGTTCAGTGCAGAGTCATATCCACTTTGTGTACTGGTTCTGGAAGGAATTCACTATTAGTTTAGTTACCGCCTATTGTAACTATGGTTCAGTCGTCGTCTTGTTTTTCATGCGGACAGATGCACAGTAGTCTAATTTACTGGACGTTTAATAGCCAAACTGAAAGGGGACAAACAGGAAGTGTGTTCATGTGTTTTGTGTTTGAACACCTCAGATTCCAGGTCTGGTGTCTCTGAAGCGACACCCCACTGTGGTGTTTGTGGGAATCGATACGCTGGATGACATCAGGAACAACAGCTACAACGAGATCTTTGTTTCTGGAGGCTGCATCGTTTCTGACGAGTTAGTCCTCAACCCGGACTACATCACTCACGGTAGGTCAGGGTTAGCATCCAACAGCAGAACCAAACAATCTGTTTCTAGTTTAGTTACTTACTTTCTTGTTCTTACACTTCTTAGTCCCACTTAACACATAAAACTGAGAACTGTATTTTCAGGAAATACACAAATAATGTATTATTGTGGTAGAAATGTTTTGTTTCTTTTTCTTCAGGCTTTTTGTAAATTATGAGACAAATGTGTTACTTATCGTGGACTTGTTGTTTGTATTTGAACTGATGTGTTATTAATGAGATGTTGTTCTGCAGATCGACTGGCTGCACTGTTGATGCTCCTGGAACAGCACAGTTCTCCAGAGAGCGTCTGGAGGTGGAAGATTCACTGCAAAACCCACAAGAAATTAAAAGAACAAGCCAGGTACTGATCTGATTCTGTGTCTACACTAATAATGGACTATGTTTAATGACTTCTAACCGAATCTGCAGCTGCACTCTTGTACTGCATTGAATTGGACCTTGTTAAAGTCCCCCACAGGCTCTCCCTGTAATGATAGAGACAGTTTACGTTCTCTCTACTACATCCTGCAGTTGGATTGCCGATCATTTGGGCTCTGAACTATTTTAAAGTACAGACAGGGAAGTAGGTCTTTTTAACGTGTGTGTATGTTCCTGTTATTGTCAGGTTCAGGAGAGATGCAGCCAACCTCCTGGACCTACTGTCAGCCTATCAGAAGCGGCAGATCGTTGAGTTCCTCCCGTATCATCACTGCGATATGATGAACCATCAGTCACCTGACCTGAACTGTCTCATGGAGCTCCAGGCCCGATACACACAGTATCGACACACTGTCCTCTTGACTGGTACGTACGTGTCCGCAATGTCAATCAATACCAGTGATTCAGCAGTGATTACCTGATTGGGTGGTGTAAAGTGTCGTACTGATGTAACTTCTCTTTATTTTTCTATCAGAGAATCCTTTTGAGAAGTTTCCCGCGTACTCCAGCGGCGGCATCATCGTGGCCAGTGTTGACAAAATTCTACAGGACTTCGCCAGAGTGGTCGGTTACCATGACATCAAGGACAAGCAGCCAATCGTAGATGACATGCTGTCTCCTAAAGGTCAGTTGTGGCAGTTTGACATATTTCATTTAGATTATAGAATAAAAAAAAAAAAATACATTGCTTGATTTTATCAGCGTGATGTTAAAGCACAACCGTCCCAACACGCTGAGTTTAAATGAACATCAGTGTCAACGTATAATTCTTGAAGACTCCAGAGTTAAAGAACTGTACATTGTGAGTCTGGCAGAGATAATTCTTTGTGTTATGGTGTTTGTCTCTGGTGACTTACTTCCGCACAATGTTTTATAAAGTCGCCAAATGACAGCGGCACCAGCTGATGTGTTTACTGCTGTTCACTCCTGCTTTACCTGGTCTGTGCTTGTGAAGAATCCACCGTATCTTCACAGAAAAGCTCCAGTCTAGATCCTCCTGCTGCGTTCTCTGATGTCTCCCCACTTCCCGTCGTCTCCTTGTGTTTTACTCCTTGCTCTCCTCTGTCCTCAGGTCTCGGCAGGCAGCTGAGTCGCAGTGACTCTGTGTCGGGCTCTGAACGCTCGCCCTCCATCTTCCCAGAACACATCCACTCCCTCTCACCCCATGATCAACCCCAACATCTCCTCCAGCAGTCCGGCTCCGGCCTCCCCCTCCTCTCACATCTCTCTGACCAGCTCGTCCCCGACACCTCCTGTAAGGAAGGGGTGTCGCATCATTCAGGCACAGACTTTGAGGTTCTTCGACTGGCCATCTCACAGTTACGGGCTGAACGCCAGGCGCAGCTGCAGCAGCAGCAGCAGTTAGACTCCCAGGCAGAGTTGAGCATCAACCCCCTAAAAAGCTTCCTTCCCAATCCTGTTCATACAGGAAGCCGACACACCAGTCCTGTTTTAAGTCAAGGAGGCGCTTCTGAGTCGGTCACTCCTGGTAAGAAAGCCGTGGCAGCCACTCTGAAGTTGATCCACTCAGACCTGCAGCTGCAGCTGGCCGAGGAGGAGATGAAGGCGGGCAGAGCAGAGCGACCGAGGAGTGGAGGAAGTCAAGGAGGAGTAGGAGGAGGAGTAGAGTCCAGAAATCAGAGAGATCCCAGAAACGGCGACAAGTCAAAACCTTCGTCCAATCAGAACACAGCTGCAGTGACAGGAACAAGTAACCTGACGGACTCGAACAGTGACGGGAGAGAAAAAGGAGATCCACAAGCAGAACCTGCGTTTCCCAAAGCAGCTAAACATAGTGCAGCATCTGCCAGTACCACAGCTTGTCCTGTAGAGGGCGACAGATCAAGGTTAGTAAACAGTACCGTTAAATAACGTCTCAGTCCCTCAACTGGTTTGTCTTAAACCGTAAACGTACAATATGTAATTTCATATCCACACAATAACAAAAGATGAATTTTAATGCTGTCATGATGGCGTGGGATCTTCATCATCATTGCAGTCTACATTAAAGATGATATAAATCAGTGTTCCCTTAAAAATCAGTGTTTTAACGTGAAAATGATCTCATTAAAACCTGAAGCTGCCGTTCATCAACTCCTGCAGTTAGCCTGTATGTTGCCTCTGAACCTCTTCCTGTTTTCCTCCTGTAGAGACACGCAGTCGGGCCAGGAACAGCCAATAAGAGGAGAGGGAGCACCACCTGGCAACAACAGCACTGTGGGACCTGCCAGTACCGCCAAGGTAACAGACCAGGAGGACGACTCCAATCCTGCTGTTCCCCGTTTACAACAGATCCAACAGCACGAACACCTGCAGCAACTGAATGAGCAACAGCAGCTCCAGCAGAGTCTGTCACACCGACAGCAACCACCTCACAGCCAGCCGCGGGTCCAAAGCCTCCTGCAGCACCCCCACATGCAGCCCCCGCACCTGCATCAGCTCCCCAACCAGCCTTTCTCCCGCGGCCCCTTCCTGGGGCCCCTGACTGCAATGGGAGGAGGCCTCCTGGGGCCCACGCCTGTCTGGCCAGGGGGCATGGGCCCCGCTGGCCTGGTCTGGGGCTTCCAACAGGGTGGCAGGGACTACACTGGTTCTAGACTGCTGGGGGGGTACCACAACCCTGCAGGTCAGGGCAGCAACAGGTACCGAGGGGGGCAGAGAGGAGGGGGCTTTAACGGGATGTAGAGCCATCCAGTTTAAACTACACCAGCTAATTAACCCAGGTAACACTCTTCGCTGACATCTACACACCGGCAGCAGGTTGAAGAGGGGGAAGAAAACCAAAAACTAACACCCAGACTGTGCAGAACCTCATTGTAGTCAAAGGAAGAGGCTCAAACTCTGCATGCAGGCTCCCATAGGTCTTTATTTATGTGTGATGTTCAACCCTGATCCAGGACTGTCGCATAGCACAGTTCTGGATCTCCGAGAATCTGATCAGTCGGGTTTGTGAGATGGGTTACAGGAGGAATGTTGAACTCTTTTACTATCATATACAATGACACATTTTCACAACAACAAAGATTTCTTGGTGAGGCTGTTTGTTGACCTCTTACAGTTTGTTAGTTTATCACTCAGTGAGGCAGCAAATTCATCCGGAGTGAACTCGAACCGGGAAAACAGAGATTAGGCTGTGTGGGTTGCGTTCAGAATGAATGTTTTTCTTTCTTTCTTTCTTTGAAAAGGTGAAAGTCCTAATTTGCACTGACTTTGATAGAAGGGACATTTCTTAGTTGTAGTAAATTGTGTTTGTTCCTCTGCTTCACACCTTTTAAAGCCACTTACAAGATTATCTCCCATCCAGTGAATATATATATATATATATATATATATATATATATTGTTCAGTGCTCTTCCTGTAGCCAATGTTATGAACCTGTGAGTGACTGAAATGTGACATGCTCTTCATCAGACAGCCCTCCCTAATAAAACTGTAGATAACACCTCTGTATGCCCTCCTAAATGAAAACCCTCTTCGGTTTGATGGCAGTAAAAATAAACCCTCACACAGCAAAGAATCAGCTGCTGTAGAGTTTGGCCGGTTAGTGGAAACCTACTGTTTGTTACCGACTGTAACCACTACCTGTTCACCTGTTTGTACTTAAGAAGTCAGATACAGAAGGCCAAAAAAAAAGAGGAAATGCCTCTACTGTTTGTCTGCCATGTTTTCAGATCTTTAATTAAATCTCACTGAACGAGATCAGACATACATATACATAAATACATGCTCAGCTCTGCCTCATAGAGACCATGTTCTGTCTGGATCAACGGTCTCCGGTTTAATTGGTTCAAGTGAGTATGATTAATCTGTTCTGTGTCTGTACGTCCGCTCTGATTCAGAGCATTGACTAAAATGTTCCTCTGGTTGGATTTTCTTTCTTGAATGCACCCCGCCCCGACTGTTTGGACACTTTTTTTTGACTGGCTGTGTTTTTTTTTTTTCCACACTCTGGAACGATAGATAGTTGTGTTTTTGGGTGCAGGAGGGGGGGAACTCTGAAAGTTTATTCCAGCAAATTCATCTCTTGAAAAGGTACCTTTGACAATGTTTTCTACAGTGAAGAAACATGAGCTGCTTATTTGTTGTCTTTGCCTCGTGGGAGACTCTGAGACGCAACCTGGTTCTTGAAGTGGAAACGGAGACAATGGAAGAACTTTAATTAATTAAAAAAAACCTCTAAAGGAAGAAGATGGACGGACTGCCTTACACGTCTTCCAGTGGACACTTTATGTCTTGTAAAAAGAAAATGTTTTTTTGTACTGATGGTTTGATTTGTTCACCTTGGAGCTGTTTGTGTTTAGTTTGCTGTTGTATGTACAGTAGGAAGTGACTCTGTAACTGACTGGTTTTAACTTAAAAAGTCATTTTTTTATGTTTTTTTACATCAGAGGTTTTTTTGTATTAAAACTTGCTTGCGTAAACCAGCGAGTTTCCCCCGAGATTTTCTTTTAACCTCAGATCGAGTTACTGCGTGACGGTAACGTGAAATCATCATCATCAATCTGAATTTATTGTAAATCTATGAACGTTGTTTTAGAGTCGCCATTAAACCGTACCTTTATTTCATCATTACTATAATCTAAAAACAATTCTCAATATAAAATATCAGATTCCCCAAGTCCCACCATTATGAACAGACATTAAAATACAGTGTAGGCCGACCCTGTTCAGCTACTGACAGTTCACACAGGCAGCAGGTTTATTCCTAATACTATTTATTATTGACTGATTACTTTGGTGGAAAAGGGGAACTCCTGGTCCACACTTCTCCTCACAGTAGCTCCCGTTTGTAGCTTCAGTTGCGGTGCTTTTGAACATTTTACCTCCTTTTACTGTCTTGCCTTCACATTTTAACTCAAAACTGTGAGCGTGACTACGTAGCAGGCTGATACTGAAACTAAATATTACAGGAAATTCACAGTGTATTTCATTCAAATGATTGTAGTATTTTTATAGTTCAAGTTTAGAGGAATGTTTAGAGGCAGCTCACATAACACTGGTGGTAAACAATTTGACTGATCTAAAATACACATTTTTACCCTGTTAATGCAAGATATAGATTTTGTGGGAACAAGATAATAACATACGATATACACTTGGTCTCACACACAGGTAAAAAGTATGTAGCTGCCCTGGAAATGAATTTGAAACATACTGACTGAGGTCCTGAAGAGTCATTTTTCATATTTGATCCTTTTTGTGTCGTTGTTGTTCTCTGAGGCAGAAAAAGAAGGTATTTGCTCCACAGGAAGTTGCCTGAAGACCTTCAAAGTACCTGAAACTGGTAGTAGAGTTAATACATAGTACAATGTATGTGTCTGCTAACACCTGAAGCCAGACACAAAGATTCTCTACATGAGGCCTTCAAAAAACCAGGTCAGTCAATACAGTAATATACAGAGAAACAGGGCTGCAATAAATGATTATTTTTAATACTCATTAAACTTATGAGTTTTTTAATTAATGATCAGTTGTTTCATTAATAAAATATTAGAAAAATGTCACAATTTCTCAAAACCCAAGTTGTTGTTTATTTTACTTTTGTCCAACAGTCTAAAACCAAAAGACTGTTTATAGTGAGTGTTTTTTGTTGTTGCAAACCTTTGCTTAAACAAATCGATAGATTATGCTAGTCTATTTAATTTAAAGTAAAATGTAATCTTTTTAAAAAGATCTCTTATTTTCTCTTTGCTGTGATATTTTGCTGTTTGTCGACTTCTTCATAGTGAATTCACCCTGAGCGCAGATCTCAGCTGCTCATTGGTGAGTACAGTGTTAGTATTAATTCAAACTATGAAATTAAGACCCAAATTGTAATTAACGGGAATTATCCTTGAAATAGTCAAACCACCAAACTATTATTAAAACTCAAATTGTATACAAAACATAAAACCAATTAAAAACAGATCTATCCTGCTGTCAAACTGATATAAAATGCTATATTACTTCTAATGTATCCTTACTACAGCCAGCGTGTGCACTGCGCGGCTGAATTATGAAGCAAAAAGTCAACAATATAAAAATAAACATCAGATTGGATTCTATTACAGATACTCAATATTTAATAACTTCTGACTGAGCTCCTTGACTTTTATCTATTTAGTGTTTATTTACAAGGAGAAATTCACAATATTGTCCCAGATAAAGCTACTCTGTTGTCCCTGGGTCAGGGGTCTGCAAACTTTATATAACACTAGTATATTCTCTTCTTATGAGGGCTCGAGACATAACAAAATAATAATTTCATGTACAGACCATTTTAGTGACGTGGAGTTACAGATAAAAGATGGGCAGTAAAATAATGTTTGACCTTTCAGACTCATACACACTGGGTTTGTTTGTGGAGCTGAGAGCTTTTAGGATTAAATGCTCATGATCCTGTGAAACTAGAGCAGTTTCCTCAATTAACATAATTCATTTTGAATGTATATATTTGTAATTGCTTCTTAAACCAGGTGCTCCATCTCTGTTGGAGGTAATACAGTAATACACTGTGGCTTTAACAGTGAAGTTGTGTTCACATTATTGTGTTCAACCTACATCCTGTAGGTTGTGTGCAGTTGTAAGAAATGTGAAGGGTCTCAGTACACTTATTCTCAATTATTTATTACACTTACAATAAATAAAAAAATACACTGACACAATACAAACTTAAAAAAAAAGAAAAATTACAATAACACAGAAGCTCCTCGTCCAGCAGGAAGCTGAAGAAACAAAATAACTTTGATTCATGATTTAAATAAGTCGACTGTCCTCTGCAGGAACTGTGGTGCCTCCGACCCCCCGAAGAAGAAGAAGAATAAAAGACGGTAACTCTCAATACCTGTTTGGTACCGTGTCATTCGTTTAGAAAGTGCATCAAAAACAGAACTTTAAAAATACAATCGTCACAGAAAATGTTACTCGTCCACATAAATTCAGTCAGTGAGCAGGTGGAAACATGAGCGGTACTTTAGTTTTATTCGTGTTATAAAGATGTTGATGTGAGGTAGAGCTGATGGAGCAGATTTAAAAAGGAAACACTGAGGTCAAAGTTAAAAGTGCTCGTGTTGAAACTGCAACTCACATTCCTGCTGTCAGAATTAAAAAACATTTTAAAATCAGGTGTGATCAGACAAAGCAAATGTTAGTTTCTGTTACTGTAGTCACCTCCAATGTCAACTGGATTAAAAAAAACTCCCAAGAATCCGCTGCAGTTGTAAGTAAACACACTGCGGCACTCGTCCAGTTTCAGAGGTTGAATGTTGTCCATGATGGCTGGTTGAAACATTCTTCATTGTCAGCGCACACACAGAGGTCAGAGGTCATCGGAGCTCGTTGTCATGGCGCTTCAGTAGAGGATTCAGATCCGTCTCCAACTCCCTCTGCTTCTGTAATAAACCCTGAAAACACACACAAACATTCATTGGTACATCTGTAGGATCCTTCCTGAGGATGCACATATTCATCCTGTTGTTGAGTTCACCTTCACGTCTATGATCAGGTTTTAGGAGCATCCTGGTTAATAGATTATAGATTATAGATTATAGATCCTGGTTTCAGAAACCTGTATCAGCTCTTATTCCAGTTAAATCTACACATCAACATCTGGTTCACGGTTCAATAAAAATACAGATGTTTTGTGCTTTTGGTTAAACAATGTCATACTGTTCAAAGATTTAGGGCTACAATAAATAGTTTTACTGTCCAATAATCAGTCAGATAAGTTTTTATTAATAAATAAGTAAATAAAATGTCCGGATATATAAATGTATATAAAAATATTCAGTTAACAGTCATATAATAAATCTTTACATTGGAGAAGCTGGTTTTTGGTTGAACTTTCTTTGACCTCTTAGTTTTCATCTTTTCCTCGGTTTGTGTTTTTATTGATTGTTTCATTGATTACAAACGCACGTGAAAAGTGCTATACAAGTTTTATTGTTTGATTCAATTATTTAAATCATTTATTGTTGATTAACTTTTTTCAGATCGACAAATCAATTAATAATTTCAGCCCATATCAGATGTTTTAATCCCTCAAATATTGACATCGGCCTCAAACATTCAGTCTTGTTGTGGCTTTAGTGGACAGTTTGATCTGTGTGTGTGTGTGTGTGTGTGTGTGTGTGTGTGTGTGTGTGTGTGTGTGTTACCTGCCGTAACTGAGCCAGGCCTCTCAGGATCTCCTGCTGTCGGTGTGTGTGTGTGTTACGAAGCAGTTCGGGGTGGAGGAGGCGATCCCGATGTGAGGGAGCAGGAGGAGACCCTGAGCTCTGAGGAGGAGCTTCTGATGAGGAGAAAGTATCGTTTACTTACAGTGTACATCACCAATGAGAGACACAGTCTGTTCTTTATATTGTTATTTTACTATTATTGAAGGTGTCTGGTTCAATAAAGGCAGGTCTCAATTAGAGGCCTGGTCTGGATTTTATAGAGCGAGTTCTAAGCTGCTTAAAATATAAATGTTTAAACAATATGGACACAATACAAACCGTTACATCGGTTAAATTCTCCACAATTCAATGGTTCAGTTCATTTTACAGAAACTATGAGCCCCAAATGATCAAATAAATGATTTGTAATTGATATGTTATTCGATAGCCTAAAGTAATATTCATACTGGTTTATATAAACAATTTGATTTCCCATCTGAGTTTTGTGTAAAAAGAATTAAAGGCCTGTTCCTAATAAAGGCAGGTTGAGTTCAGTGATTGAAGCAAATAAAAGTCTGTTAATGAAAATACCATAAAACTTAAATTATCAGTTAGTTTACAGATAAACTGGGAAAAAATTGGATTTACAAACTCTCAGGTCCCACGTTAACGTCTATTTACTGTCACATACGACAAAGCAGCAAATCCTCATGTTTCAGTCGCTGATTTTAGAGAATATTTGGGATTTGTGCTCCAAAAATGACACATTAGTTTCAGCTCAACTGGTTTCAACTCTGTGTGAATATTTGGGGCAACAGGACAGTGTATAGAAGAAGAAGATATACTTTATTGGGGGATGTATGTGAGTTAAAATAAACTAACTAAACTAATCAATGAATCAACAGCTCCATATGATGTGTGCATATATGTCCAGTTTTTACCCGACAACCTGTTCTATTTTTCTACAGTAGCCCTTTTAGTTTTTAGTAGATCTAAAAATCTAAAAACACTGCTAGATGCCACAAAATCCTACACTGGTCCTTTAATTATTATTGTGTGTGTGTGTGTGTGTGTGTGTGTGTGTGTGTGTGTGTGTGTGTGTGTGTGTGTGTCTCTCTAACCTGTGTGTGTGTGCGGTGGGGGGGTGTCAGCAGGCTCCAGTGGGTCCAACTTGAAGACTTCATCAGTCCGGAGGTAAGGGATGAACTCCAGGACCGGAGGAGGAGGAGGAGGAGGGGTAGAGGAGGGCGGGGCCTGCTGACTCTGAACTCTGTGTCTGACAGCAGGGACGGGAGGAGAGCGCCCCCTGGAGGAGGCAACATCACGAGACATGAAAACAATGGAGCAACCTTCAAAAGAACAAACAGGAAGTCACAGAAATATTTTACATCCTGTTAAGATTCAGGCTACGTGTAGTTTGCAGACCACATTCAGATATAGAAATAAACTGCAACGCCTCGATCTCATGAGGCTATCGTTGTGCAAGACATCAAAGCAAATCTAACTGACGTGCATGGTGCAGGGATCATCTCGAACGAGTCTAGTCTGTCAGTGGACAGCTGAAATTCAACATACATGAAGAACAAAGTTTCCAAGGAATAAATAATTATTTAATTTGGTTGAAATAGTAATAATAAATAATAAAATAGTATTAAGGCAATGTTTGCCCATTAAAGATGAGGAACACAATCAAGGTTTAACCAGTTTATAAGTCAAACCTCCTATTTCATTGTTCAGAAAACATGTAATTCCACTCCTGAACTTTAAAGATTTAATCCTATTTTCTCTGAGAGAATCAGCTTTTTATTACCTTACTGTAACAAGGTCAACCAGGCTGAGACGAAACTCCTCCTCTGTCTGTTTTAAAGCGTGTTTGGGGGTTTAACAGTCAGACAACTGCAGTCGGAGCTGCTCACCTTTCAGTGCTGACGGCTGCAGAGACGTTGTGTCCTCTGGAAACGCTCTCCACCTGCAACAGTTAACACACAACCACTGAATGATCACCAGCCAGCAGAAAGAAGCTGCTCAATGTTTGTCAGGAAGGAATAGCAAACGGTTTATGAATCAAAATGACGACAAAAGCAGCTTTTCAGAATTCAGTATGGAGGACTACAGTGTGACCAGCTACCAGGAGGCCTCCTATCTTCCTGGTGGGACTGGTTCTGGTCTGTGTGGGGTTGGAGCAGAGACGTGGCTCCTGGTTCTGAGGTGGAGGGTTGGTCTTGGACAGACAGGCCTTCTCCTGCAGAGCGAGGAGCTCGGCCTGCCTTTTCATCCGACTCTCCTGTCTGTTCCTCTGCAGAGAGGCCGGGTAACGCTCCGAGGCTGGAACGAACTGACGACTGGGCCTGTAGAAACAGAGTCCGAGACCATCTGAGGAAATACTCACTTCTTGAAGACAACATGGAGGTTTCGGGAGACATGCTATGTTTCTAAACTGGGAACCTTAAACTTGAGATCATCGAATAAGGAAATATATTTGTTACGTTCAGTGAATTACATTTGTGGTTCTCGAAGTTTTTAAAGAATAATATGAACTTAACAGAGCAACACAGCTGAATTAGACAACAGTCAGTTTTAGTCTTAAGTAGTAAATAGTGAGTCCATGTTATACTATAATACACTTTTATATATAAATTTAACATAAATCATTGTTGTAGTTGGTCAAGGTTGTGCTAATTTTTCCATACTTTTTTTATACTGTTGGGTAGTTTAGTCTTAAATAGAGCATCATATTTTATAAGATCTTTATATCTTTATAGTTACTTTCCACCAATGTCTACTGATACAAACTGTTTATTACATGTTCACAGAGTACTAGTGACAGACCCTTGGAAGGCATCATGTAAAATATATAGTCACTTAACTATCTGTGTGTCATCCTCTCTCCTGTAACTCTACAGCTGTCAACAAAAGCTAAAGAAAAGTTGTTTAGCAAAGAGAATTATGTTTTTTTTATTCCTTTTCCTGCCCATCTACAAACTCTTTAGTCTAGTATGTGGCGGCTCCTGTAATCTGGCTTTTTAACCACCAATAAATACATAGAAACACAAGACTTGTGTGTCTTGTTATTGAGAACAAACACTATGAAACTACATCCAGGAGGCTCCCGTCAGAGTGATCATCTAAAGCTGTGTGTGTTTCTACCTCTGTGTGTTCCACTCCGGCCTCCTCTTGTCTCTCCTGCTCTTCTCCGTCCTGGCAAACGCCTCATATGGGTCTCCTCCTCCTCCTCCTCTGCTGCCTCCTCCTCCTGGCAGACAGATGTTCTCCTTGCCTGTTCTCACTGCTCGGCTTCTGCTGTTTGGAGGAGCAGCAGAGAGGGAAGGAGGTGGCTGGTACTGTGCAGAGACATCAGGAGTCTGAACTCTGTCGGCTCTGAGTGGGAAAGAGGGAACTGCCTCTACACACACACACACACACACACACACACACACACACAAGAAGATAAGCTGTGTCAGGATTTTCAACCTTTAGAGTAAATCCACATTAAGCCATCAAATCTCTATCTGAGACTCTCTGCATTGGAATTTCAGCAGGTTCAGGTTAGTTGTATTAACAGTAGTAACAGCTGAGTTACCTGTTTGTACAGCAGTGTGTTTGTATGGGGAGGCTGAACTGCTGACCTCCTCCAAACCCTCGCCTTGTCTGGTAACTGCTGAACACACACACACACACACACACACACACACACACACACACACACACACATACAGGTAGGAGAATAATAATAAACAACCTGCTTGTTTAGGTCTCTTTCAAACCTTTACTTAAATAAAATAGGAAATAATTTTGCCTTTTAGTTCTGGTCTATGTTCACATTCACATTGACTACTGACTCTTTTTTTTCTCAGATAAAAATCTACCAAATCTATTTTCTCCTATATTTTCAGTAATACCGCAGTTATATTACAGTATTATTGCAGTAATATTACAGTTATATTGCAGTAATATTACAGTATTATTTCAGTAATATTACAGTAATATTGCAGTAATATTACAGTATTATTGCAGTAATATTACAGTAATATTGCAGTATTATTGCAGTAATATTACAGTAATATTGCAGTATTATTGCAGTAATATTACAGTAATATTGTAGTAATATTGCTGTATTATTGTAGTAATATTGCAGTAATATTGCAGTAATACTGCAGTAATATTGCAGTAATATTGCAGTAATATTACAGTATTACTGCAGTATTATTGCAGTATTATTGCAGTAATATCACAGTAATATTGTAGTAATACTGCAGTAATATTGCAGTAATATTGCAGTAATACTGCAGTAGCTCTGCTCACCGACAGGCTCCGAGTTCTCCTGATGTCTTTTTTCATTGTTGCCTTTATTTGGCTGCTCGTCCTGATGGCTCTGCTGCTCCTGGAGGACAGAAAATAGTTCAATGACGGTGTGGAGATGAAATGATTAATTATTAAGAATTGTGCACTGTTTGCCTGTGTGTGTGTGTGTGTGTGTGTGTCGCTCTAACCTTCTGCTTCTCCTTCTGTGTGTCCACCCCGTACCGTTTCTCCAGCATCTCTCTGTCATACACCACCCTCCTCTCTTCCTCCTCCTCCTCTTCTCTCCTCCTCGCCTCTTCTCGCTCCCTTTGCCGCCGCTTCTCCTCCACCTGAGCTTCAATCGCTCTCTGGAGGAAAGACAGTAAAATATTCAGGTAGCGAAGTGATAAAACCTGTACTTCTCCTTCCTCGCTGTATTCCTTGTCTCTCTCCTCCTCCTACCTGCTGCTCCAGCTGTTTGAGCCTCCTCCTCTCTCGCTCTTCTATCTGGGCCGGGTCCAGCAGGGCGGTCATGGACCTCAGATAACTGAACAAAACACAGGAGAACAAAGAACATTTATTCATATAGTAAATACTGTACTTACATCCATCCACTGCCCACATCTTTGATTGTTCAGAAACTCAAATACAGCATGAAGGATGATTGACAGCCCTTTTTTGGAAGAACAACTGAACCAATCAGAGCTTTGTAGGCGGGACCAAGAATGTGGACATCGTCTTCCTGTGTCAGAACATTTTTCTTTTCCAGAGCTGTTCATACATCGATCCATCGTACCTGGTTCTGGTCGGGTATCCGCTGGTTGTGTCCACGCTGGCTCCCCCGACGCTCTCTGCTCCACAGCTGCTCATGGCCTCCCAGACCAGGGACAGGCTGGACGAGGGCTCCCAGTCCCCTCGCTCGGAGCCATTAGACAGGGCTGGAGGTGGAGCTGATGGAGCGGCAGTCTGGACAGGAGGTCTTCTCTGCAGCGAGTCGAAGTGTGAGGCCCAGTGCTCGTGGTCCTCCGTCTGCAGAGACACGTTAGAAAATAAAACAACAGAGAATCAGACATTAATTGTGAATTACAGGATCTCTCCTGCCCCGGTTTCTATTGTGTCTCTACTGCACCTGGCTCTGGGTTCAACCGTACCTGTTGCTGCAACAGTTTCTCTCGTCTCCTGCGTTCAGTCGTCTCCTCTCTCTGTTGGTCCAGCTCCTCCAGCCAGCGTCTCTTTTGCTCCTCTTTCCTCTCGACACTCAGCACCTCCATCGGAGTGACCTCCTACAGAGAGAAACAGCTCAGGATTCTCAATTGTTTCTGGGATTGAAGCAAAATAAACTACAGTGCCTGTGTTCACGGTAATGAAGGAACGCGTCACTCAGTGCAACAGTGCGGCTCATTGATGTGTTTAATAACAACAATGGAGCTTTATGACACAGAGAAATAAGCTATATCACACTGTGGATACACAGACAATTATTATATACAATCTTAGTAGATCAATTAATTGTTGGTTTGGGTCTTTTAATGGAATCGAGATTCATTTATTTGTCATTTTGATTTGTGGACATGAAGAAAACAGACTTGATCCCTTGAAACAGTAATGTTTGGTTGCACTGTTTGAGGTACATGTGCAGCATAACCTACAAACTGTCTTATTTATTCTGGGGCGTGATGTGCAATGAGGATTACCATCTTTGATTACCACACCGGTTATTTTTCCCCAGCCTGTATCTATTCATCTCTATGTGTGTCACCTAGTGCCGTTACATGCAAGGTTTTTACCACTGTGTCTGCAGTGTGGAGGGACGAGAGAAAGGGGACTGTATCTATGTGTAGAGGTGCTGTTATTTGGTGCCATTTAGGCTCGATCACCTGGATGAAGAATCAAACCAAAGTTGGAAAAGCTACAAAGAATTTTACTTTACAGGTCAAATTTACCCCGAGTCTGAGGCTGGATCTGATGGCTGCAGGCTGTTCTCTGTGGCTGATGGAGCTCTGAACTGATAACACACTCTCTGTGTCCTCCTCGGCCTGAAACACACACACACACACACACACACACATACATACACACACACAAAGATTGTGAAATATTTCATAAAAGGACATATGTTTCCAATCTGTGTCAACATTGGATCTAATCTGATCAAATGTCAGTCTGATCTTCTCCAGTTGAGGTTTCATAAACCGAACACTGTTCATCATTACTTGTGTCAGTGTTTTGGTTTCCAACCTTTAGTTAAAATGACACCCTGAAATATTTAAAAGGTCCAGTGTGTAACATTTAGGAGGCTCTATTGTCAGAGATGGAATATAATACTAATAGGTATGTTTTCATTAATGTATTATAACCTGGATATAGGAATCATTCACTTTAGAATGGCACTAAATCCTAAACACTTGACCTTTAACTGAATATATCAGTGACTGTGAGTGTTTTGTTGTTGTTGTTATTGATATAAAATATTCAACACGTCCCTCAGGAATGTTGCACTATTGTTTTTCCTACATTGGTGCCTGTTATGCATCTAAAACAAGCGTATCAGGTATCATTCTAGTATCAGAAACAGTTTGCAGTTCTCGGGTGTAAACAAAGCTGCACATCTCGTTCCCACAGTGGAAAACACAACCAACAAAGGTGAAATATCTGCCATACCTGGAGCCTGCCAGGGGCCGAGCGCTGCTGCTGCTGCTTCATTGCCACTTGCTCATCTAACACACACACACACACACACACACACACACACACACACAAAAAGAGAGAAAACTAATTTAATTTAACTGATACTGCTCAACCTCCCTCACTTGTTCTGACTCTTTCCTCACCAGAGAGGAGAGACTTTTACATTTAAATTAAGGTTTGTGTTCATGTTGGGGTATGGGTTGTATTTAGGAAGATCTAGGATATAAGTGTTTTGTTGAGGGTTTGTAAACTAGTTAATTATGGTAGAAAATTAAAGGTATCAAACGTTATAGTTTGTGGGCTTAAAGCTGTGTTTAAAGCCCTTGAAAACCTGCCTTCAAATCTCTAGTAATACAAGTATTTCTCTTTAACATTAAATAATTGGGACTAAATAACTACATTCAGAGTTTAACAGCATCTTTAGGTTTTATTTATTAATTTCAGAAGTCAGAAATTCAGTTAATCTGCTTCCTCAGGACTGTGTGAGTGTTGTTTGATCAGATTTTGACAAACAACCCACCAACTGTCATCAGGGCATGTTCAATGTGAAACGATATTTCCTCGAATAGGTGTGCCACAGGCTTTGATGTACATTTTCTCTTGTTTGGTGGGTGTGTTAGAGATCTTTTCTCTGATACAACAGTCAGTTTCAATGTGGCCACAAGCTCTAACTTTGTCTGTCCATCATGAGGTGCTGGGCAGGAAGTATACAGTGTTTTTATAAGCGTTAGTTTGCTGCCTGCTGCTGCTGGAAACAATGAGACTGAACCAAACAGCCAATGTGCCATAAAAACTAAACTAGGAGCTAAAAGAGGCTAAAACACTTCATAAAGTTGGTGATAATTCTCAGTTTGCCATTCCAATAAATATAAATATGCATCACTGGCGTTCTTAAATGCTTGTTATGCACATATACCTAGTTCTCTCCTCCACTGAGCCTTCTTGGCATCGATGGCCGCTCTGCTCTCTGACTGTCGCTCCTCCAGCCAGCTGAACAGACATCCAGGCAACCTAAACAACAGCAGCAACATCATGTAGAAACCAACCTTTTAGAAATATACATTTCAAAAAACACGTATTTTTGTGTGTTTCTAATACAGTGAAGACATGAAGAAGTGGAATATAGATGTGGTCCTATTCTAGAGTCAGTTTTACTGTATTTATGGTGATCTAAGAAGAGAAGCGTGACCTCCCTGAGAGGACATTAGAGTGTGTAAACCGTCATGGTCCTGCACATTTATTGTTTCAGTGTCTTCTTTATGGGACTGCATCCTGAAGAAATGTATGTCTGCTGCCCAAACTAAAAAAGCCTGCTGAGGTTGGCTCCCCTCACCTGTTGTCTTTATCCTGTGAGCTTCCAGGTCTATCCGTTCCTTCTCCTCCTTCTCCCCTCTTTATTTCTTCCCCTCCTCCTCTGTCTTCCTCCTTTCTCTTCCCTCTTCCTCCTTCATTCATCGAGGAGCCAGATTTTGAGTCTGCTGGATTTCCTAACAGAGAAAAAGATGTGACGTTGTACATTGTATCGACAAGGAGGGAAAGTCTAGTATCTGATAGCAACAGCTCAGTTCTCTCTGTGTTGTAGTCCGCTGTCAACTGTCATTCATTCATTGTTAATGCACTACATCTACCCTGGGTCCTGTGGTCCTCTGGTGGGTCTTGGCCATTGCTGGTGGTTTGGACTGTGTTGAGGATCTGCTGAAGCTGCTCACTGGTCAGACACACCACACTGTCCTTCAGTCCTGCGTTCCCACTGACCAACGCATCCTTTAGTCCCACCTTTCCACCGGCTCGTGTTCCACTGCTCTGAGGCTGTCCCGTTTTCCCATTGCCTCTCAAGGAGCCAACAGTAGTGCCGTGTTTGTGTCTGTCTGACTTCCCCTATAACACACACACACACACACAGACACAAATAACATAAATGTTATCTTATCTATGATATCAGATAAAAAGAAATTAAAAGGGACGCAGCCTGATATTACCTTAGCCACAACTTTGAGTGTCTTGGATGATGACACAGTGGTGCTCCTCCCCCCAGTGGTGGTGGTGGTGTTGTTAGAGGCGAAGGAGGCGGCTGCTCCTCCTGCCTTGTTCTTGGTTTCTCTCTGCCTTCCCGCCTGCTGCCGGGCTGGATGCTCCTCTCCCTGCACCTCCTCCACACAGGACGGCTGCCTGGAGCTCAGGATGTTAGCCACTCTGGACCTGCAGGACAGCTGCAGGGATCAAGTGAACTTAAATCAGATCACATACCAGGATGGTTTTTATTTCTTCCTTTCAGCAATATTGTCCATAAGGAACATAAACATGCTCTGTACACTGCAATATGTGGCCGCAGGCTGTAAGGAGGATTCCTACCTTTGCTGCATTCTTCTCAACGCCTGCAGTGGAAAAAATATGTGACAGTGAGCAACCACGAATAACACACACACACACACACACACACACACACACACACACAGGTTCATATTCACTTTTTTCCCCCAGAAAACTAAAGAATTCAAAGGCTGAAAGGACTCACCACGACTGAGTAAAATCAACTTGGGTTTTCCATTTTCAAGCTCAAACAGGAGGCCGTCTCTGTTCAAGGAAAGTGGAAATATCAGTGAAAGTAGTGGAAACACCACAACATCCATTTGATTGCATTGTGTGTGAAGTACCAGCTCCTTAATCTTTTCAATTGTCCTATTGTGTTTATGTTTTAATGCCGTCGTCTTGCTGCAATAATAATTTCCTCTTGTGGGACAATGATGAGCTAAACTGGACAGACAGGTCTGTGAGTTAGTGCTCGACCAATGTGGAATATTTATTCTCATTTACAACATTTCAGTCTGTTCAAACTTCATCAGGTATATTTATTTATGACCAAAACATTGTAAATTAATAAATATTCCAGCAGTAAGCAACACAGCGTGTGTTATTAATAATTTAAATTGTGCTTTCCTTCAAAGAACCATGTCACATATTCAGATCTTATTCTTATTCCAGAAAAACCATCTCATTTGTGTTCTTCTCAGTCATTTGGGGGCAAAGATACACATTTTCCTGCCTTTGGTCTTAATTAACAAACCGATATTCGCTCGAAAACAAGAGCTGTGTCGACTTTTGTTGTGTTTTTGTGACATTGAGATATTGAGACAGAACAGTACATGCTGTATGGTGTTGCTAGGTAATGACATTACATAGTGTCACACAATGAGTCAACGCAGAGGATATTAAACAACGTCACACATTTACAGTCATTACTCTGCTTTTCTCCTGCATCATTAACTGGCTTCGGTTGGTGGGAATGATGCTTTACTGAGTTAACATGAACTCCAGATCACAGTTAGTGACCTGTCTCGTGAAAATGAAGTGTTACCTGATGAAACCTGCGATTAATTAAAAGTTGTGTCTATTATTTCTCTCTTGTTTGCAGGAAGTTAAATGAATACTCTCATTACAGTGACATCTCTCTGCTGCAGCTCTGGTGGCTGGACTCACTTTATCCTTATATTCCTGAGTGTGTCTGTTTGTAGTATGGCTGCTGTGTAAGCTACTGCATCCCTACATGTCCTTCTGGGTGAATAAAGTATATAATAATAATAATAATAATAATAATATGTAACGTTATCTATCTGACACATTAAAGCAAACAGCCCTGTGGCTTAAAGCACAACCACAGCTCGTTGTTCACATTAGTTGTAGTTTCTGTTGGATTATTGGTGCACTTTCGGTCACAAACTACACAATAAGTACACAATAAGTACACAATAAGTACACAAAAGTACACAATAATCCCTCCGGTGCTTTTCACTGCGACACAGTCGGGAGATATGTTAGCCTAGCTAGCTACTGGTCGTTTGAAAATAACACACTCACCCGAGATTCATGCCGACAGACAATATTTTGCGGAGATGGCGGCACAGACTTATAATAATAATAATAAGAGGAACAATGTGGTCGGTTAATGATTTATAATGGAAGCTAAAGAGCAGCGGGCTGACCGCACCGCCTGTTCCTGGTTGTTAAATTGTGTACGTTGGTTGCTGACGACGACCAACAACGGCTCCACCGATTGGCTCATTCTGTTCCAGTGTGAATGTAACAGCCAATCAAACGTCTTCATTTGGAGGTTTACGTCAGAAGATGTTGCATTTGTGGGGCTGGGAATTTATTTAAAAACGATCAGACCGACGTGTCGAAATATAACGTCTGTTTTTACTATTACTAATAATATTATTATTAATAATACTACTATTATTAGTAATATTATTATTAATAATACTATTATTATTAATAATAATATTATTAATATTAATATTATTAATAATATTATTATTACTAATACTAATATTATTATTATTAATAATAGTATTAGTAATAATAATATTATTATATATTAATAATAACATTATTAATAATAATATTAATATTAATATTATTATTACTAATACTATAATATTAATACTATATAGTATAATATTATTATTATTAAAAATTATTATTATTAATAATAATAATACTATTGATAATAATACTATTCATCTTCTTCTTATTATTAATTATTATTATTAATACTATTACTAATGCTAATATTATTATTATTAATAATACTATTGATAATACTAATATTATTATTATTATTATTATTATTAATACTATTAATACTACTACTACTACTATTACTATTATTAATAAGAATAAGATGTTTATTGATCCCCTTTAGGAGAAATTCACTGACTTTGTGATACTCTGTCACTATTTTCTTTTATAAAATAATTTTTTTCATATACTAAATCTAAATATTGAGACTTTCTCATTATTTTGAGACACTAATTCAAAATACTGATAAAGATTTGAGATCCTCTTTTACTCTTACTTACTTTTGAGAAAGCCTCTCATTATAATGACTAACAGAATCTTTTTTATTACATAACATTGGTGGAAATGAGCTTCCATAGGTCACAGCACAACATACTTTTTGCTCCTCCAGCTTTATTACCACATGTTGACTATTAGACTCAATTTTACGACAGACAGCACACCACACTACAGTGTAAATGCCTTGTCAATATATATATATATATATATATATATATATATATGTGTCATTGAAAGGGTCCATGAAGGCCATTGTGAATGAGAAAATAAATGTTTCTTTAGGGAATGTCATTATGAAACAGGGATTATTATTATTATTGATTATTATTATTGAACATATGGTCATCGTGTATACTTCAAAACAGTATAAATAATTAAATGTCATATTTGTGCTTTTAGTTAAAAACACATGTTACCAGTGTAGTGTTCTTTCATCTGTTTCATCCAACCTCTTTAACACCTCTTCCACCACTTTAAATGCAGGACTTTGTTTTTCTAAATTGAGTGTGGTATATTAGCACTTTATTTGGATAGTTCTTCACCTCTAATAGGATATGAAAAGACAAGACAAGACTCAAGTACTCCAACCGTCTCTTTATCTAAACATTACCAGGCTTCACTGATGAGCGAGTGCAGCCTCAAAGCCTGAAATCTGGAAAACAAAATCTCCCAGCCTGTGAAGGAAGAGCAGGAAGAAACCTTATTAAGCTCCTTGAGACAACAACATCAGTGGATGTTAAGCATACCTAACAATGAATCCAAGCAGCATATATTAACAGAAAAGGGAAGGCAAAAAAACCAAATAAAAAAAAATAAGATAGAAAATAAAGTTCACGTTTAATTAACTTAAAGGGGGGTTAATCAAAATATAATACAAGTAGTTCAGAGAGTCTTCTTCTTTTCCAGATTAATTTATAAATGCCACAAAGCTTGGAGCGACTTTAAAAAATCCACACACAAGAAGAGAAGTTAAAAACAAAACTTTATTAAGCTTCTTCAGATAACAAATAGACATCATCAATCTAACTAACTAATCTAACTAAAAAACAAACAGTAGTTCAGACAGTCTTAAGGATTAAAAGAAAATCTAATTTATTAATTTTATTTATTAATCTAAAAAGTAATTTATAAATACCACAAATCTTATATTATATCATATTATATTGTTTTCAATTCAATTCAATTATATTATATTGTATTATATTATATTATATTGTATTAAACTATATTTTATTGTATTGTATTATATTACATTACATTACCTTATATTATATTATATTAAATTACATTACATTACATTATATTATATTACATTACATTACATTATATTGTATTGTATTATATTATATTAAATTATATTATATTATATTACATTGTATTACATTGTATTGTATTATATTACATTATATTATATTGCATTATATTGTATTGTATTACATTGTATTGTATTGTATTATATTATATTATATTATATTACATTATATTACAGTATATTACATTATATTACATTACATTACATTACATTATATTATATTATATTATATTATATTATATTATATTACATTACATTATATTATATTATATTATATTATATTGTATTATATTATATTATATTGTATTATATTATATTATATTATATTACATTATATTATATTATATTATATTGTATTACATTGTATTGTATTATATTACATTACATTATATTATATTATATATTATATTACATTGTATTATATTATATTACATTACATTACATTATATTATATTATATTATATTATATTATATTACATTATATTATATTATATTATATTACATTATATTATATTACATTATATTATATTATATTACATTGTATTATATTATATTATATTATATTGTATTACATTGTATTGTATTGTATTACATTACATTGTATTGTATTGTATTGTATTATATTACATTATATTATATTATATTATATTATATTATATTATATTATATTACATTGTATTGTATTATATTACATTATATTATATTATATTATATTATATTATATTGTATTACATTACATTACATTATATTATATTATATTACAGTACATTATATTACATTGTATTATATTACATTATATTATATTATATTATATTATATTATATTACATTGTATTACATTATATTACATTACATTATATTATATTATATTACAGTACATTATATTACATTGTATTATATTATATTATATTATATTACATTACATTACATTATATTATATTACATTGTATTATATTACATTGTATTATATTATATTACAGTACATTATATTAGAGCAGCATTAAACCCATAAGAAGAGGGTGCAGTACCAGCAGTAAACTCTCGGTGGCGCCAAATCGCCGCACTGACGTGAATCAACTGTGAAGCCGAGCAGGCTGCGTTAGCTTCACAGTAATGACGTTAGCCTCCTGGATGTTGTCTCCGCCGTTAATGGATGTGTATACCGGGGACATCCGCCACCCTCTCCGGTCTCTGAAACCGTAACCACACTGACCTCTCTCTCCGCGAAGGCAGCCGACCGTCCCTCCGGTGCTGCTGACGGTAGGTGGTGACTGAGCTCCGGTGCCTGGAACCGGAGAGACTGCGTAACGTCACAACCGTGATGTTAGCTGTTCGGCTAGCGGTTAGCATGCGAGGCTAGTTAAACGGCAGTTGGGTTAGTGTGTCCCCCCCCCCACCACCCCCCCCACCCCCCGGGTCCGGGACACCGCAGCAGAGCAGTCAAACAACAGCTTATAAAGCGGGGTTAGTGCGCTGTACAATCATTTATGAGCGGATTTAAACAGAATAAATAAATAAAAAAAGAAGAGTACAGCCTGCGTTAGCCTGCTAGCGTGTTGTCAGGCTAAGGTCAAGAAGCTGGCCAGTGTGACAGCTAACTGCTAACTACGGCTCCCGAGCGGCTCTCAATGTGCGTTATGGCCCCCAGCCATTACTGCTAGCAGGTAAAACGACGACCCCCGACTAACGTTATAACCCCGCTGCAGCCTGGGCAGGTGTCGGTGTTCGTACGGATTGAAGAAGAGGAGGAGGCTCCTGAAAAGTTTCATTAGCTCTGCGGCTAGCTCCGTGTCGGGGTAATTAATGGAGGTTGTTGGATTCAGGTGCTCTGCAGGGGGGGGGCTGAGGCACTGGGGCAGCTCATTAGTGACTTAACTACACTGTTATTACTAATATTGCATGTTGACATGAGTGTGGAGGTTTGGTGGCTTTTAACCGAGGGAGGGGGGAGGAGGAGGGGGGGTGACCATGCTGCAAGTCGTGTTTATTTGTTGTCATACAAGTGCTGCAGGACTGCTTTATCATCCTGCTCTACATACCATAATAACACACCGTGCATCAGTCCATAAACATGCACGATGCATCAGCGAGGAGCCGCTCTCTCTGCTGCACGGTTCATGGATAAAGGCTGCACGGTTAATCGAAACATGATCGAAACATGATCGAAACATGATCGAAATCGCAATTCGGCCTTTTTGTGGAGTTGCAGTGTTTTAATCTAAAAGGTAAAATGTGTGACACAATAGCGTTATGATTAAATAATGATGTGCTGTAAGTGCTGCAGAGATGTCCTTGCCCTTATAAATCCTGTTCTTCAGATTTAAAAAAAAAAAAAAGCCTGTTTGTTTTTAAATTTGTGGAAAAAAATGTCCACACTAATCGTGGATAATTTCGCGATACTTGTCAAAACAATCTGGATATGATGTTTTTACTGTATTGTGCAGCTTTAATCCGTAACTGCTGAGTGACTGGTGGCTTTATGGGAGGATGTGATGTTGTTTTGGCCTCGGTTCAATACTAAATATCCTGCTGAAATCAACCAGTATTTCCTCACACAAGTCAGCTGGGTGCACTTGTGGTTGTTAAATACTGTAACCGTATTGTCAGCATGTGTCCGTCTGGTTTCTCTCACCATCAGATCTTTATACTGAAGCGTTAGGGATCGTAATCACTAGACATTTCTATAGAAGTGTACCTCGCTTATTAACTGTGATCAGTGTGGTAGCTACAGAATTATTACATGAAGATCAAGATGTGAAATTATTCTGTCCTCTGCACAATATTCAGCCTGTTTGCTGGAAGTTTGTATGACGTCGACCATATTTTAAGCATTTTATTATCCGTTATGTTTGGCTACTGGTTATATCAACTTTATTTTATGTTATTCCTGCACACTGACTAGGGCTGTGTATTGGCAATAATCTGATGATACAATACCTATCCCAATACAGAGGTTACAATACAATATATTGTGTAATACTGTGAAAAGAAAAGGTGATATAGTGTGTATATATTACGTTTTTCAGCTGCATTTTAGGAAAACTGTCATAGTGTAAAGACAGATCACGGGACAGTTATATTGCAGCACAAATATTCAAATGAAAGATGAAAAATAAATCCTGATATCGATCGTGGTGTCAGAGACTCTTTACAAAGAAAAGGAAATATTCATCGTTTTGCACAGTTTATACTTTATTCTATAAATTGATAAAGAAAATATAAGAGATGTCGATTTTTGTCTAATAAGTGAATCTTTTACAGTCATAATTTCTCTTCAATCTCATTGTTCAAAAAATTAAACCCAGTATCGAATCGTGAGTGAGTGAGTTGTTACTTCCCTATATAGAGAACACATCACCATATGCATGAAACCTTTCACACTTACCACACTGCTGTCTAGTGGTTCGGGGTTTTAAAGACAAAAATCAATACTGTGATGTCAAAAATAAAATCTCACGATATTTTAACTAACAATGACAAGCTTATACATTTATAACAGATGCATAGCTCTAACACAGATGTAATGTCGGTGCATAAAAGGCACAAATCGGAAACCGGATAAATGTGTTACTGTAGAAGTTAATGAGCCATAAATTCAACCACTTAAACATTGTTGTAGAAGTTAATTAAAATAATTTAATTTAGTGACCAAAAAAAGTGTTTAAACACTCAAATGATCACCTTTTAATAAAGTCACTAATACTCTGTAGCAAATATTTAAACATCAAGTCTGGTTCAATGTGTTTGTTTAGTAATGTGTATGTAACTACATTTAGTAGATGGGGATTAACCAGTGACAAAGGTCTGAGTGTGTCAACCTCATTATCCTTCGTCAATGTCAACAACTCCTGTTTGTTTGTGTGTGAAAGTTTCTGTTTAAGGGGAAAGAAAAAACTCGTCCGACATGTTTTGAGACAGAAATGTTGCAAATTTGACAGTTTCGACATCATAAGCAGACGTCAGGGGCTGTGAGTGGATGTTGATCACTGAGGAAACACACCTGGGGAGAGTATGGACGCGGTTGTTACTGTGAAACGCCTGGACTGGACTGATGTGAGTGTTTTATTAATTAGGGATTATATATATCGGTATTTATATTATCCACAGCAGATACAGATTATAGTGCATAAATGTTTTATATACCTCATTCTTGAGCTTTTATCTTTTCTTTAAATTCATGTTTGAAGTGTGTTTGTTGACAATTTCTTGTTGGGTTTAGTGTTTAGAAATAGTTGTCCTCTTATAGTTGCTGTTACTGTCTTCTGTCAGTTTATAATCTGTACACCTCGCAGTGTGTAGCCAATTGGGATAATTCTTCTACATATTATGTCTAAAGCTTTAAATACACAACGTTTATTACTGTTAAAGAGACATTCATACACTCTTTTTAGACCTGTGTGCATTTTAATTTGTCAACATTTATATATACAGTATGACAATTTTATATAAATAGTGTTTTTTAAAAAGAAAGTGTTTTGGTTGCACCTGATCTACACTCCGGCGCGACCAGAAATCAAGACTATAAAGTAAATTTAATATTCTTTATATCTCCATTGTCCGTCCAAGAGATGCACCCCGACTGCTCCTATCCCGTTGTCATCTCAGCAAAGTGGAGTTAAAAAAAAAAAAAAGTCCTTCTCCGAACTCAACATTTTCTTTTGCAGAATGTAAACAAACCTCAGCGAAGCTCGGGCGTCTGTTCCTATAAGATCAACTTGTTCTGTCGCCAGACTATAAATAAAAAATGATGTGTGACAAAGTTTTGTCGGCTTGCTGACGTATAATTTAGACTTTAGTCTGTAATTTGATAATTTAGACTTTTCCAGGCAACAAACACACATCTGGAGCTCTTGTCCTCAAAACACTGAGTACTCCATTCAGTCTAAAGCCTGTAGGAAACAAATCCATGTGCTTTTGTTTTGAATTGGTTTCAATAAAGAAGAACAGGTAGGTTAGCTTGCTAACTTTGGCCTTAAACCTGGATTTTATGGTGCCACAAATACGGTAAATCTTACAGGATCCAAACATGGTCCCAAAGCCGACATTCCCACATTCACAGTAAAGGTATAAGTGCATGGTTACCATAGCAGCAGTCACTAAAACCTCCTGTTGCATGTGAACTGACTGATAGGAGTAACGTAGACTGCTGGACTCATATTCCCTCAGTGCAGCTCTGAGCATGAATGTGAGGTAACTTGATGAATGGAAAGTCTTTATTAAAGAAGTCAGATGACAGTATCACTTTAAATAACTAGTATTTCCACTGTGAAGTAATGACATGACGCTGAAAGAACGACGACTTTGTGCAATGTCGGAAAAATTAGCCTCCAATTATTTATTCACACACACACACACACACACACACACACACACACACACACACACACACATAGTCACACAGAGCTTTCTGCAGTTTCTTTACATCACCGGGAGAAATTATCCACTTCCCTTTCCCCTCAGCTGCTCTAGCTTATTAACACGTCGACTGTTTATACACTCAGTGGCCCCTTTATTAGGAACACCTGTAAAAAAAAAAATAAATAAAAAATAAATAAAAAAATCTAATGCAAGTTCACACAGTCAGAGAGGTTATTTAATTTAACTGTTAATTACTGAGGTTGCAGTGTGTGACACAGTATTCAAACTTGAGTATATGTGCTGCGTCATTTACATGGAGGTCTTGTCCGCTGATTGACGTGTTGGGGAGTTTTGGTTTCCGTGGTAACGCCTTAGTCTTAGTAATGTTGGTGAGAAAAGAAGCGGGCCACAGATGATAGACGTGTGTGTGTGTGTGTGTGTGTGTGTGTGTGTGTGTGTGTGTGTGTGTGTGTGTGTGTGTGGTCTCGGTGGTTGTTTTGACTGATTGGAGCTGTTGTCTCATTCAGATGATTGTTGATAGGACGGATTGTTCTCCTCCCTCTGTGTGTGTGTGTGTGTGTGTGTGTGTGTGTGTGTGTGTGTGTGTGTGTGTGTGTCGCTCTCAGCAGCTGTTGAGCTCTGTCAGGGGAACATGGACGGCAGCTGTGTATGTGTTTTTGTGTTTTTTCCCAGTCGTAGTTTGTGATGTTTGAGACTGACAGATGTGTTTGGGGTTTTTCTCCCATAGGGCTGCGTGATACACAGGAGAGAGCGAGCCGGATCTCTTTTCCTGCACTACTTCTTCTTCCTTTCCTTCGCTCCATACTTTAATTACTTCCTCCTTCACTGTCTGTTTTGTTCCTTTCTATGTCCTCATGTCCTCCTCCCCTTATGATTGTTTTCTTTCCTTCATTACTATTCTTCCTCCTCTCCTCAGTCAACCCTTTACTTCACTACCTCCTATCCTATCCTTCCTCCATTACGTCCTCCTTTCCTTGACCACCTCCCCTTGTTTTCCTATTCCTCTAGAAAAAGTAGACCCATAACCGGCTCTAGTATCTAGTTATATTGCCTAATTGATTGTATTACACTCAAACCCAGGTCTCCACTTCCTCCTCTTCCTCTTTTTCTTGGCGCTTTGTGAGTATCTCAAGATAGTGCCGCGTGTCAGCAGAAGCTACCTCCAGCCCTTATTTAGCATCATTTCGCCTGGTTATGCTACGCTTCACTAATGCAACTACTCAGCAATAACACACACACACACACACACACACACACACACACACACAAGCTGCTGAGTTCAGACATTATGATGATGACAGTGATGATGATGATGGTTTCTTGGCTCCTGTGTATTAAATTCTGGGATGAAACGATTAAACGATACGAGCAAGTAAGTGAAGATTTGAACAGAACAATGAGCAGAAATGGCAGATTTCAATTTTCAAGTTATATTATCGTATCCAGAGAGCAATTAAAATGTTGTGCTTGGTTAAAATGTTGAAATGCATAGCTGGTTTGATAGTGATGGATCTGAACTTTCCGCATTCCTCACTTGCTTGTTACTCACTTCTTCATATAATATGCAGTAATGGTCCATTATATCAGACAGCAGCACTTCATATTGTCCATCAGTATCCTTCACTGACCATGTATGTTGGATCTTATGTGCGTGTGTCCTGTTTGGATCCATCTATCCATTTTCTGCTTCTCATCTGAGTCCGAGTTGAGTTTTATCAGGAGGCTAAACAAGATAGTTCAGACCTCCTCCTCCTCTTCCTCCTCCTCCTCCTCAGCTTTGTCCTCCAGTTCCTCCTCAAGGATCCCAAGACGGGATATATTAGTTGTAGTTATTAGTGTGTTTATCAGGCCAGTGTAGCGCCTGCTTTATTGCTGATGGTACACCGATATGCTGGTCCATCTTACCATGCTGTAAGGTGGTATCGGAGTAGTTTTACAATACAATACTGTGCTCATGGTACTGGTGCAACTCCCTGACAGGTAGGAGTGTAAGAAAATATCTAAAAATATTGGATTGCGGTGTTTTGTTTTGCGAGATTCTCAGAAACGTTATTGATTTTTGTGATTCAACCCCTAACCGCTAGATAGCAAGGTTGTGAATGTAAACTGAGAGCTATATTGTTGGATGTTACAGGGACTTTTTGCTCAGATTTTATGCATTTTGCGGACAGTTTTCCTTAAAATCCCAATATATATCACAATATATTGATATGAGAACAGGTGAAACCATCCACAAGTCAAAGGAAAGATAAGATAAGATCTAGCCTGATAATCAGACTGAATTACTAATTTGTCTTGACCTCATTATTTAGTCTCATGTGGTTTTATGACCAAATCAATGTGAATCATTTTCAGTCATCACAGAGGATGTGGTAGCGGTTGCTAGGAGCTGGTAATGTTTCTCCTGTCATTTTGAGTAATTGTTTGTGGCACAGTCACCCTTCTTAATCCCACCTACAAAGCTCTGATTGGTTGGCTCTACGGTTGAGCGACTGGAGGAATATATCGGCGTTTGGCGATCGTTTTTTGGGGCCGATTTCTGTCATTTTATTTTGCTAATTTAATGGTTTGCCTCTGAAGAATCAGTGACAGGAAAAATGACAAAGTGACAAGGAGTATTTTTACATCCAACTGTGGTGAATTAAGGGTTTATTTCAAGTAGTTTGACAACAGGGATACAGTTACAAGGTGATTCACAGACACTCCAAACAAGACTCCAGGGAAGAGGGGGACATGGCTGATACAACCCCGGCCAGGAGAGGAGAGGTATGAAGCGGGTAGAGGAGCGAGGGAGGTCGGGGGCATCAGAGAGGCAGCGTAGAGGCAGAATATTTTCAGGTCTAACTATCTATCTAACGGTCTGTTAGGTGGTTAGACACCAGAGGGGGTGATTGTTGGAACAGTTTGGTCAGTTTTATTTTGTTTCTGACGAGTGTGAGTGAAGTGTGTTTTAAGGTTACCAAGGTTTTAGTTTGGTATAAGAGAGAAACTTTAATTCAGAAGGTGTACGGTTCTATTTTCTATGTAATGAGGAAAATAGGTGCTTTTTTTCCTTTTACTTTCTTGACATTTGGTGAGTTTATTTTCTCTATTAAAGCTGTTAGAGCTTGTTGCACGTATTAACTCACCACTCATCTCCCAACTGAAACTATTGGGTGGTTAGGTGGCGTCGGGGGGCGATCGCTGATTGTGGTTTGGAAAATGTTAACATATCGCCCAACTGCAGTTGGTAAACAGCTGTAAATGTATAGATTCACTACCCTTCATCACTCTGGTCATCAGTTTCCAAAGTTCCCATTGTGAGGCAGTAGGGCTGTAACGGTTCTGAAAGTGTCGCGATTTTTCGAGACCGAAATCGCGACACAAAAGTCCACGGTCTCGTGTCGCGGATCTGAGAGACAGAACCGCGACACACTCGCTCCCTGGACTGTTGAGCTCTCGTTAAGACGGTGTAACTGCGGCGGTGGCAGCTGCCCAGGGGGTGGTAGCGCTGTACGCCTATATCATATTTGTATTGACAGTAGGTTATTCTAGGTCATTTTCCACCTTTCTCTTCTCCGCACACTCACACACAGCACACACACCTAGCCTGGACCTCTGGTCACTCACGGCAAACACGCCCGCTTGCTCCGCCTCTTTCTGTCTCTCTCTCCCTGTGTGTGTCTCTGCTGACT